GTGCCATAGATTCTTACAGTTTGGGGAAGTCTATGAATCCTTTTTCAGAGTAATTTAAAGTATTTTAAATACCTTTAAATGCATGTGGTAAAATATATTTTATTAAAAAAGGGAACGAAACCAATGTAGTTATCAAAATATTCAACTTTGAAAGAGATTTATACATGTATTCTTCCTCATTAACACCTTAGATAACAAGATCTAGCAGTGGTTCTAACAGCAACTTCAGTGCTTCCCAAGGACGGGAATTTTGAGGGATCTGCAATAGGGAAAGATCTGTGGCCTTTGTGGGCAACCAGTCACAGGCCTGCCATCATCATGGTGGTCTGTTGCCTATAATCAAAACTGAGGGATATGTTAAATTTCAGTTAGAAGTCAGGGAAAAAAGGGTGACTGGCTGGCTCAGTCGGTAGGTTATGTGACTCTTGATCTTGGGGTTGTAAGTTTGAGCCACATATTGGGTGTACAATTATTTAAAAAAAGAAGTCAGGGAAAATAAAGCTATACTTTTACTTTTCTTGTTCATAGACCCCCTAATTTCTTGTGAATCCCAAGTTACAAACCTCTGCTCTGAAGTGAAGCTATCTGGGCAGGGAAAGGCTTGAACAACTACAATATTTCTGGGTCTCCACCTAAACTCTTGTATTTAAGGACCAAACTTACAGCTTTTCATTTTAGGTCAGATCATACATCAGATTCTTAGAACCAGATTCTTAGAGTAAGAATCTTGGAGTAAGACTAAGCTTCTTAGAATAATTTTTGAAGAGTGATCCATAGGTTTTCTGTATCAGAGTACTTTTGAAAGCTTGTTGCATTGCAGATTCCTAAGCCCTGCATCATTTTTCCTGGGTCAGAATTTCTGAGGCAAGGCCTGGACACCTGCAAGTTCAACAATCAGTCAAGTGGTTGTTATATACATCCCCACTTGGGACTGTCTAGGGTAGCTGAGCTAGTAATGGGCATAAGTGAGCTAGGTGGAAGGATGGCTTGTAGGTGGGGGAGGTGTGTTTTTGGTAGAGGTTGAAGTCCCTCTGTAAGGTGTTGTCCTGCTATATTTCTTACAATGATTACTTAAAGAAACTAGTTCTAGGTCTGCATTTGTCTATATTGCACATGGAGTGGGTGGTGTCTTTTACTGGTTAGGTAAAACCTGAAGTGGGATTATTGCAGCTGCTGGCAGAAGAGGCCGTGAGCTGCTTAAGTTCACCCAGAAGCGAGTAGGAGGAAGGCTATGGAATCAGGTGGCAGACATTGATTGGGTTTATCTGCAGCAGTGGAACCCTGCCCATTGGGAGGAACGAAACTGCACTCTGTCAAAACAGCTCATACCCAAGGAGACAGTTTGGGAGCCTGATGGAAGATGATCTGATGAGACAGACTTACTCCCAAAGGGGGCAGACAACTTTTTGACATTGAGGGCCACTGACATTGAACTTGGGGGATCTTGTCAGTTGCCAACTCAGTTGGCCCTTCCTTGGAAATAACTTTGCATTTGTAGGGGCAATTGCCTCCCCCACCTAACCCCCATTCCAATCGCCTTACAAAACCAGACATACTGTGATTTTTAGATTATTCATTACAAAATCAGGTATAAATCTCAGCCCACAACTTCATGTATCACATTTTGATCTTCTTTTATTTTTCTCAACTCAATGAAAAGAAGGATTATGAGCTTCCATTCTGTCAAGGTGGCTGCTCGCTCTGCTGCTTCTACACCATGAGGTGTGGAGATCTTTCTGCTACCCCGTGCCACCGTCAGGGATTGGGACTTTTTCCCAGGCTTGCTGGCCAAACTGCAGCAGGAGCTCCATGCAGGCCAGCCTTCTCTGGGCTCTTACAGTCCTGTCATTGTAAGGGTCCTCCCTGACCTGCAGCCTTTCTGCTACTGAACCTCTTCTCCCTCTTCCTTACGGCCCTGGGAATTCACTTCTAGTCAAGGACGAAGAAATTCTCCTTATGTTTCTACCCTAGAGAGTTTGTCTACAATCTCCCTTTCTGTGGCACTCTTCCCTCAAAACCCATATTTAAAAAAACCCAAACCGGGCGCCTGGGTGGCTCAGTTGGTTAAGCGACTGCCTTCGGCTCAGGTCATGATCCTGGAGTCCCGGGATCGAGTCCCGCATCGGGCTCCCTGCTCGGCAGGGAGTCTGCTTCTCCCTCTGACCCTCCCCCCTCTCATGTGCTTTCTCTCTTTCTCTCTGTCTCAAATAAATAAATAAAATCTTAAAAAAAAAAACCCAAACCATGTGTGTATACACACATGTATATGTATATGTATGTGTATGGCTTAGGCTTTTGGAACATAAGAGCCAGAGAATGTCCCAGGCAATTTGTTTTCATTCTGCCCCATTATATCCCTCCCCTGAAACAATGAACCCCTGAGCCAATTACCTATTTGAATACTGGGAGAAAAAAGAACATAGATTAATATCTCAAATACTTTTTAGTCACAGGATTCTACTTAATGCTTTTGAGGAAAAACTTATATTGAAGAAAGGTGGCCTGGTAGATTCATCTATGATTTTTGGAGCAAAGATCTGGTCCTGTAAATCCATATCTATGCCCATTCCTGAGTATTGGCCCGTCAACAGTTTTACCAAAGACACAATCCCAGGTATTCAGATAAGTAATGAATCCTGTGCATCCTATCGTTATGTTAACTTCTTGCCATTTGATTCTTTGGAGTGGCATGAGAGGGAAGGAGGCAGTGCACAGGCATGCTCAGCTGTGTGTGTGGGGTGGGGCAGAGCATCTCCCCACCCCTCACCCCCTCCAACACCACCAGCAAAACCTAGCAGGGGGCTCAGAGAGACCTGCTGAGAGGCGATAAAATATCCCTAGGCCATGCTCTAATCCCCAAGGGTTTTACAGGCTTTCTCCCTCCCATTGGAATAGAGCAAGTTAAATTACATTTACCAATTTAATAATGTAAAATTTAACTCCCTAAATTTGTGCTAATGTAAACACTGCCAGTGTCTTTAGTCGATAAGGCTTAGAACTATGCTCAGTTTTCCAAGAAGCCTATTTCCAAACGGTTTGACCTGACAGGTCTGTAATAATACATATTCCTCCCACTTGAGAGAACAATCTATTCTAGGCTTTTAGAATAATGTTACTTTTATAACCTATTGTCATCTTAGGAAACCCATTGAATATTTACTGATTCGATGGAATATTAAATTTTAAACTATAATATAGCCATCAGTATCTTCTCCTTTATAATTGGTAAATTAACTTCGATACTTATTTTTTCAAGTTGAGTTATAATGGAGCCTTCTGCATCACAACATTTATCATCTAATTTATCTTCTTGAAGGTTATTCTCTGCAAGAGACTGGGAAACCATGTCAAAGTCAACTGAAGTTCAATGTTTGAGTTCCCAGCTCTAAACTGTTGTGAATTTGATCCCTTCAGGTTGAGATAGTCCTTTTTTTTTTTTTTTTTTTGGATTTAGAAACTGCTTATAAACTTCTCTGGGATTTAATTACGCTGTTGCCCTCTCAGTTTGCATGAGATCATTAAGCTGGATAGTTTGTTTCTCTGACAACAAAACATTTTGAGCAAGCAGATTAAATTAGTGGGGCAGATTCAGGGCACCCATGACTTGTTGTAACTAGGAATCTATAAAATAAAAACAAGGAAGAGATAAAAAGCATGCTTAGAGTATTCTTTCAAAGGCTTGAGAAAACAGAAATGTTGGTTAATATGTGAAAGCCACAATATTTCATTATGCTTCAATTTTATTTTCACTTGCTTTATTGAACCTACCTTTAAGCCAAATGGGAAAGTGAATTTTCTAATGAGTGAGATGAAATATTTATCAAAGCTAAATTATACAAGTTTTGATCAGAAGCCAAATAGTCAAAGCATGTCAAGTCTTACTTTAAAGAAATACATATAGATTTATGTATGTATTATATTCATTGCTGGATATTAATAATAGAAGAACTGGCTATTGACCTGGAATTTCTTTCCAAAATGTTTGATTAAAGAGATCTGCATCTGAGCTGCCAACCTCCTCGTATGAGATTGGCACAAAATGTTAAGCTTTCTGCATTGGGAGTGCATTCATGGGTATGAATGTCAAGGATATGTACACATGAGGTCTCAAGTATAAATCATCTTGCAAAATAGTGGTGCTACTTACGAGAGGGGTTATCCTCCTGCACATAGCAGTACTACATTTAGTAGTCATTAGCTTTTACAAAGCACTGCAACGTTGGGGCTTTCATGGTATCTTTTTTTTTTTTTTTAATTTATTTATTTGAAAGAGAGAGAATGAGAAAGAGCAAGCACATGAGAGGGGGGAGGGTCAGAGGGAGAAGCAGACTCCCTGCCGAGCAGGGAGCCCGATGCGGGACTCGATCCCGGGACTCCAGGATCATGACCTGAGCCGAAGGCAGTTGCTTAACCAACTGAGCCACCCAGGCGCCCACTATTGTAGGCTTTTGAAACAGTTTTAAAGCTGCAATCTAATAAGACCATGATGTTAAAAGTGGCTATATTTTCTTTTCAATATTACCTTCTAATAATATTTTTATTGAGGGATTTGTTTATGAAGAAAAGGTAACAATTTTTGTAATGAATAAATTCTATCACTATCTACTGAAAATATGAATTTATTTTAAAAAAGAAAAAATTATAGGGGTGACTGGCTGGCTCAGTCAGTGGAGCATGGGACTCTTGATCTCGGGGATTTAATTATGCTGTTGCCCTGAGTTCAAACCTCATATTGGGTGTGGGGCCTGCTTTAAATAAATAAATAAAATAATGAAATTATATATATGTAATATATATTTCTTCAAATGTACTTTCTAGGCATGTACCAAATTGTTAACAGTGACCATCTCTGTGTTATGGAACTGGAAGGGGTCTCTTCATTCAGTTGTGAAATGCCATGGAAAACGGAACCTGATTCTTTTGGCTGAATTCTATAAACATAAGATATTTACATAAATTATTTTGATATATTTATTAGGTAAAGAAAATTGTTTCACATAGCTTTTTAAATGCATTTGAATTTTTATTCTACAACACAGGCAACATAAATACAGTATCTTTTAAAATATCTTCTCTTTAGAATTTTCATTTTCACCTCAGATAAAATGTACACAAAATACACTTGCAAGCTTGCTTACAGGGACCTGTTAAACAATGAACAGATTCTATCAAATCAAACAGTTTATCTACATTTAGGGTTGTTTCCTTTTTTTTAAATTAATAAATGTGAGCAAACTGACTAAGAAGGCAAAATAAAAATTTTACTTCCTTGACAAATCCTTTGGAGTAAACAAAATGCTCCAAGGCTCCTGGTGAATGGGATTGCAAGGATGAATTCTGCATTTTACAGATAAAATGGTATACTGACTCAAATCATTATGGCTATATCACGCTTCATTTATTTATAATTTTTAATGGAAACAAATCAATTCTTTGGCATAATACAAGAAGGGATAAAAGAACCCTTATCACCCACTGACTTTAGAGTGGGAAATGGTAGTTGGGGAACTGTTTATAATGTAATTTATTTCTCTTAGAAAAGCAGGAAAATAATCTTGAATAATAGTCTTTTGGCATGATTAGGGCAATAAATGTCTTATTCTTAGCTCCCTTCCTCCAACCCCCACCCATCCACTGAAATAAAATCAACAAACAAAAATAAGTGAAATTACTCTTTCCCTCTAGGCACCTGCTCCTGCCCCTGTCATGCCATACCTGGATATCCTACCACATGGTTTCCATTGAAGTGAAACCCAAAACATCAACAGCATTAATCTTTGTCCAGTTTTGCCTATTTAGCAGGACACTGGTTTTTATTACAGAGAACCACTTCCAACAAAATACAGACAGAAGAACTGCCAAGGGAGGAATACAGAGTAGCCCGCACGTGATCATGAGGTAGCCATGGGTGACCACTGGTGGCAGGGCCCGAGATTCCCTAACTTGAGAACATATTTTATGTGGTAGCTCGAAAGATTGGCTTTTAGATACCCCCTCCCTTTTTTGGCACCAATTGGTAACATAAGTTGGAAATAAATTATTCCTAGAGATTAATATTTTAATTTCAAAATCAATTACTATTAGAAGAACTAAAAGCACACCTAATTTCCAAAACAGATTATGGAAAATAAAAGTGAAAAAAAAAACCAATTATTTCCATCCACAGAGGCAAGAACTTGACTCTTTAGTACCATTAACACTTTGATATGCTTTCTGATCTCACTAATTCTAGTAAATATTGTCCATTATTTTCTATTCATACAATCCAAAGTAATTTAAATGATGTCAGGGTATTCAAGCAGAAGGCTTTAGAGAAAATTAAATCAATAAGAATGATATGTAACTAATATAGTTTACATGTAGATGATAATTTTAAGGTACTTGATTTTTTTCTCTTGAATTATTCGATGATCCTTATTTTTTTAATGCAAAAAGAATTTCCAAAGCTAATTAATCAACGTGTTAGGAGATAAACTAAGGCCCCCCCTGATATTTGACATCATTTCACTGTATTCCCAAAGCATATGGATGCACGTGTACATTTCTCCCATCACTGGAAGATGAGAGAATACGGTCTCCACTGTGCAGATACGAAAACAAACACATTTACTGAAAAGTCCTTAAAACAGGCACATATACTGCTCAAAACGGAGTTATTCAGTTTGCAGATTTCCATGAAACCACTTGGTAGACTCTTTACAGATACACAGGAAATTTTTACACCAGACAGTTAAGTGAAAGATGAAGGTACATCAAGTAGTGTAATATCATTTTGAAGTGTCGCTGTTTGGGTGGCTAATGAGAGAGAGAAACCTACTGGCAAGCAAGCAACTACTCAAAAACCTCTGGAAGCCAGGAGCCAAGGTTGTAACAGAGTTGAGATGGGAAGAGTAAAACCATAATGACAGAAGAAACTCAAACACTACATATTTAAATTTAAAATCACATCAGTACAAGTCGAAGGGTCAACATGATGCAACTGATCATCCACAGAACCAGTGTTTCTAAATACAAAGACGAGAAGCTTACACAAATCTCACTGTTCCATTGAACGGATACATTCATTGTCTTTTAGCTTGTAAAAAACCGAATTGTTGGTATAATAAACCTAGAAACTGGGAAGATGGAGCAGGAATGCTGTAGAGAATTCAATCCCAAGTTGTCTGCCCAACTTGGTGTTTGGTGTTTCTCTATAGCTTGATAAGTCAGGCTGATCTTAAAGTTAGTAGTTGGAAATTTTTTCAAGGCAGTTCTCAGAGTGTGATCCCCAGACCAGCAGCATTGGCCTCACCTGGGTCCTTGTTAGAAATGCAAGTTTCCAGACCTACTGAATCTGAAACCCTGGGTGTGGGCCCAACCACCTGTGTTTGAGCAAGCCCTCCAGGTGATCCTGATGTGTGCTAACGTTTGAGAACCACTTGAGAACAAGTCAGAAGATACTACACAACCACTACTGAACCTTCAGGAGAGGAACCAAGAGTAGCAACAATTCTTGATGGTTGAAAGGCTGGGAGGACCAGAACCGGATGGGATTAACCAGCAGCTGACTACAGTTTTGTCACTAAGATGGTCAGCCAGTCTCTCCTCCAGGGAGCACTCATGCATTATCTCACAAAGATAGAGGGGAAAGGTTTTGTACGGTGCGGGTGGTGTTGTACCGAGTTTTCTTCAATCAGTAAGTGGTGCCATTGTTTGTAAGGAAATTGAGCATTGTTCTCAACTGAATTTCTCATAAATTATCCCCAGGGATAATTTTTTTTTTTCTTTTGTCTGTTTTCCCTGAAGCAATAACTGTGTTTTGGAAATCTAAGGGGTGTTCTAGTCCAAAACTTTGTATTAAACTATTTCTTACTTCCACATCAAATACAAACATTACAAGCAGAGGAAGAGGATCTCACGAAAGGAGAGACAGTTTTCTAGATTGTTCCACTACGAGGGAAGAGAACACAATTTTTTTGATGAAGCATAATTAGGAGTTCTTTACTAGTTTCCTAAATCTTGCTCAACAGCAAGTTCACATTTCCAATAAAAAGTGCTTAAAAAGAGTCTCTTGCTTAAGGCCACACTAAATGCCACTAGGATCACCTAAGTGGTACCCATGTGTATCCAAGTTCTGTCATCCACTTAATGCAGTCTGTTGGATTTTCCTTCTGTTTCCTTGTCTGAAGAGTATGTAGAAATATTTAGGCATATGGCACATGGTTACTGTGGATATTGACCTGATGCCCCCAGTACCTGGATCTTTAAATTATCTTGTCTTACCTGTCGCTTCCTCTTTGGAGAGACTGCATTTGAAAACTGGTTATAATTTATTTTGCATATTCCCAAACTTTGATGATGACTTACATATCTACTACTGGATACTTCCCAGGGAAGCAAGTAGAGAGGCACTGTTGGCTACAGGGCACTTTATTCTGAGTGGTTAAATGGCAATTGAAAAAAGTTTACCAATCGAGACTGCCACTCTTTTCCGCCTGGCAACTGGCCAAGAATAATATTATTCCATCATTTCCAACTAATTTGGCAAGTTTTCTAAATTAGCACTGAAGGCCTGCTTTAAGATTGAAGTTCGGACCTTATTTTATTTTCACTCAAAATATTATGTTATATATGATCTTTCTATGTGTAAACACTATCTTTTTTTTTTTTTAACCCTATTTGAAAAATCCCTATAACATAGCAGATCTGGGACATTAATCAGATATTTTCATCTCATTTTAACTGTTTAATTCCTGGAAACACTAAAGTCTTTACTCTGTGTACTTAGAGCAAGGTGTTGTAGAGAGAGCAAGGCCTTTGAATTCAGGAACTCTTCTTTTGCAACCAGCCAGGTTCTTAACCTCTCTGGGTCTGTATCCTCATTTGAAAAAAAAAAAAAATGAGGAAATCTATGCCCGTTTGACAAGGTTATTGTGAGAATAAAATGCTAACGTAGGTAAGGTCTACATTCACAGTGGCCCTTGACAAATGTCACCTCCCCCCTGCTTGTTTGCAAACTCTTGCTGTGGAAATCAGCTCCAAACAAAGGTCTTTATTCTGCTTAGTTCGATGTGTGGAATACAAATGGATTTTCTTTTCTGAGAAAAAAACTTTCCTACCTAAGCAGTCTTGTGATGTATTTGGAGAAAGTCTGGGATATTTATTATACAATCGCATTACCTTCTTATGGTTAAGACCACTTGGCTTTCTCCATTGACTCTGTTATAAGCCTTCTTCTTAAAAGAGCAAGATTTACTAAAAGCTGGTGATATTGTACCAGGAAGTTTCCATTTAAAGGTACTTCTGAATTATGTTAATATTTTGTCACATTTGATTGCAAATATTTTAATCTGAGCGGTTATGTATGTTATCATCTGCCTTGGTCAGTCACCAAATAGCATAAAGATGGTAGAAAATGTCCTCGTTTTGTATTGATGGAGAAGGCTAGAAAATAATCAAAGGGGAGAGATAATAAGATCGTGTAAAGAGGCAGCCCAAGCGTTTTTAAAAGCTAATCAGGAGGGGCGCCTGGGTGGCTCAGTCGTTAAGCGTCTGCCTTCGGCTCAGACAATGATCCCAGGGTCCTGGGATCGAGCCCCACATCGAGCCCCACATCGGGCTTCCTGCTCCGCGGGAAGCCTGCTTCTTCCTCTCCCGCTCCCCCTGCTTGTGTGCTTCTTCCTCTCCCGCTCCCCCTGCTTGTGTTCCCTCTCTCGCTGTGTCTCTCTCTGCCAAATAAATTTAAAAAAAAAAATCTTTAAAAGCTAATCAGGAGAGGCAATAGCTGGGAGAGATCCTAGCCCTCCATCAAACCTCTGCCCTTATGGCAAGGAGAAATCTGATGATAAGTGTGGTCTACTTGGCTGTCAGGAATTCCTAAACACTCTTCAATTTTCTAGGTGCTTTCATAATGCATACTTTACCAAAATATTAAAAAGAGTAAATCTCAACCTTAGGGTAACACACTTTTGGCAGTAAATACAGGCAACTGAAAGCAACGTGCAAAATCTTATTCTGCTTAGATCAGTAAATATACGGTAATAACTGTTTTAACCACCAAGGCTGTCTTGATCTTGGTCTTTCAGAGACCTTGGGAGAGAGGGAGTGAAGGAAGAGATGGAGGAAAGGCAGAAACCAAGACACCAGGAGAGTGTGAGGGGCTGACCAGGGCACGGTCACTTCACTGTGACCTGACGTCCTATTCATTGGAAATTATTTGCCTCAGGCAATATCCTTTTTGACAACCATAGATACCTCTGGGAAGCAGTATGGTCCTTTAGCTAACTTTCTGGTTGAAATCTGATGTGGATGTGGAGCACAGGGTATGCTGGGAATGGAGGTGGCTGGAGACCAATGTGGGCTTTGGGATAGGCTGTAGAATAGATGATAGGAAGGGGCCAAAACCCTCTTAAAAACTGTAGGTAAAGAATGATATACATTTTCTCACTTTTTAATTCTTGGAACCTACAGTTTATTTTCATAAACTAGTCTTGGCTCTCATAAGAGAGCATCTATGTGAGAATGGATTCTGATTTCTAAACAGTTAACTAACATACTCTGGGACATGACATTCTACATTGAGACTGGCTTCCCTCGAATTTTTACACTTTATAAAAAGTTGCTACATATAAACATTTTATAATCACTCTGATTTGATACTCTGCTCTACTGAAGCTCCTTCCCCACCCCCAAAGTGAATTTTGGGGTCCTCATGGGCTCAGAAAGGGGAACTAAACCTCATATTAGCAGTACATCATGGTGGTTCTGTTTCTTTTTGTAGCTTTTGTTAAAACAGTACCTGACTCTCAAGTCTACTTTCAAAATATAAAAATTTAAAAGTATAGACTACAGCTAGTTGCTATCCCCAAAATTCATTGCTTGTCAAGATCAAATAGTTGATCTGTTTCTATACTTTTTTGTCTAATGAGTAAAAGCTGAAGAAGGCAAAGAGAGGGTGTTGTGGAACTGGAAATGCGTCTTCTGGACTCTGTAGTGATCTCTAGATGGTATACGGAATGATGGGGTTCTTTTAGATTGCCTAAATAAATCAGGGAACCCTGTCTTCATCTTAACCTTGTAGATAGTTACCTATTTCTCAAGACAAAGTTTACCAATACCAGCACTGAGTAAAGTTGTTAGTTTTAAATCCTTACTTCTATACTGAAGAGTTGATATTTTATTTTTAAAGAATGACACTCAATTACGAACACATTTTTAGGGGCTGGGAAAATGATAATGTAGGTCTTAGCAACTAACTCTATTTTCTAGAATGTATACGAGTGGGCCTGATTGAGGAGTTTCAGTCATTATAATTTAAGAACTACTAAGTATATTGTAAAGAAGATAAAGGTTCCAAATTAATTTTCTAGTTCTATCTAAAAGAAATATCCATGTAAAATAGCCGTTTAGAAGGACCTCAGACATAGGGTAAATTTACTTGCCAGAGAGGACAAATATTTTAAATTGAAAAACTTAATTTCCTAAATTTCACTGTGCCCCCTTCTTTAATTTTCTTCTGAGACGAGAGCTTGTATGGCTGACAGTATAATTTCATGTGACGGTTGCATAATATTTTAAGGTTGAAAATGACTTCATCCCAATCTCCTTTCTTACCCCTTCCAGTTGTCTTCCTACCACCCCACACTTCCTGCCCCGTCCCCTGAGAAGTCTGCTCACTGGATGGAGAACTGAGTCCTTTCCTCCAAGGATGCTGATACAAAATGAGTTGCATTTTAACATTTTGTTTTCTGAAAAATCCGATGTTCTGCCTTACGTTCAGGTAGCTGGAGCATAGAAATGTCTGTGCAACAAGAAACTAAGGCACCATTTTTTCTTTCCCTTTCCTGTTTTGCCTTGGGAGCAAAAGCAAAGGCTAATGGGAAGCCAGGGTGGTGGGTCAGTCTTATGTCTCTTGGCAAGATCTCTATCAGCCACTATCACTGGGAGCAGTGTGCCAAAAGCTGCCAGGACACAGACTTAAAACCTGCCAGGAAAGCATTTTCTTCCTTTAGAAATAGGGAAATAAAGGCACAACAGTACCTTAAAAGAAGTTGGTGAATACCAACCGGAAAATCTTGACAATTTAGGACAACTTTGAAACGTTCTGGAACATTTTACAGAGGAAGTCATCCCTTTCTTGACTATGACACCCAAGAATATGTTTTTCCAACTGTTTTCTTCCCTGCTAAGCCCATAATCATAATGAAAATCTTCCTCTGATGAAGAATGTCTGCTACCAGATGCCAGAGTGCTTACACATCAGCTTGACTTACCAGCAGATATTTCCTTAACAATTGCATTTAAAAGAAAAAAAAAAAAAAATCAGATGGATCAGTGTAGTGTTTTCAAAGGAGTAGTCCTTGAAAGGGACCCTTTTGGGAATAACACTGCAGGCAAAAGCACTGGGAAATAAACATCAAAATTTAGAAATGTGTCAAAGAATGGAGACTCTTCTGAAATAATGTGCAAAATCAAAGTATCGTTTGTGTCCTCTAGATACAAGGTTGAGTGTCCAGAATGGCCCCTGTGCTGATTAGCGAGGGAGGGGCAGACTGTTCTCTGAGACTCTGGTTTCAGTGGGGCTGGTGGTGGGGAAAATGCTATCTGTTGGACCAGCAGGCATTCTCTAACCTCCACTATTGTATTTCGTCAATGTGAGTCTTCTACACGATGATGTCATAGACCCGGCCCACTCTGCCCAGCCATTCCCTCACAGCCTGGCGCACTCTGATGTCCGTCACGTGGCAGGTCAGCTGGCTGATGCATGGGAACACCGCTGGCTGCAGGGCCGTGAAGGTCTGGTCTGGAAGGATCTGAATCTGATTGAGAACTGTTAGCACCATGTTGGTCCATGCCTAAGAGAAAGGATTGAGGAGAATGATTAGCAGCTTTCGACTCTGGGTTCATTTGAACTCTCAGGTGTGGCTAAGCCCTGCCAATTGGCAAGTGAGTTTTCTGGGCTTTAGGTCGCAAAAAATCAGTCTTTACTAATTTAATGGGGCTAGAAGTTGTCATTTTAAGTTCATACATACAAGGAGTAGCGGAGTTTCCTCTACCATTAGGAATACCTTCTTTTTAGGTTTCATGGACTACGGGAGTATCTTGTTTTATTGTGCTTTGCTTTACTCTGCTTCCCAAATACTGCTTTTTCTTTTCTTTTTTTTCAAACTGAACATCTGCACAGCCCTGTGTGGAGCAAGTCCATTGCCGGCACCATTTTTCCAATAGCATTTGCTCACTTGGTATCTCTGTGTCACGTTTTGGTAATTCCCACAATATTTCACACTTTTGCATTATTATTATATTTGTTTGGTGATCTGTGATCAGTGATCTTTGATGTTACTACTGCTTGTTTTGGGATGCCATGAATTGTGCCCATATAAAATGGTAAACTTAATCGATAAATGTGTGTGTTCTGACTGCTCCACTCACCAGTTCCCCCATCTCTCTCCTGCTCCTCAGGTCTCCCTACTCCCTGGAGACACACCAATACTGAAGCTAGGCCAATTAATAACCTTACAATGGCCTCTAAGTGTTCAAACGAAAGGAACAGTCCTAGGTCTCTCCCTTTAAATCAAAAGCTAGAAATGATTACGCTTAGTGAGGAAGGCATGTTGAAAGCCGAGATTGGCACAAGAACCTAGCTTCTAACCTAGGTTAGTCAAGTTGTGAATGTGAAGGGAAAGTTCCTGAAGGAAATTAAAAGTGCTACTCCAGTGAGGACACAAATGATAAGAAAGAGAAACAACCTAAGTGCTAATATGGAGAAAGTCTGAGTGGTCTGGATAGAAGATCAAGGGCAGCCGTAACATTCCCTTCAGCCAAAGCCTAATCCCGAGCAAGGCCCTAACTCTCTTTAATTCCGTGAAGGCTGGAGAGGTAAGGAAGCTGTAGAAGAAAAGTCTGAAACTCGCAGAAGTGGGTTCATGAGGCTTAAGGGAAGAAGCCATTTCCATAACGGAAAGTTGCAAGGTAAAGCAGCAAGTGTTGATGTAGAAGCTGAAGCAAGTTCTGCAGAAGGTCTGGCTCAGCTCATTCATGAAGCTGGCTACACTAGACAGCAGATTTTCAGTGTAGATGAATAGCCTTCTGTGGGAAGATGCCATCCAGGACTTCATAGCTAGAGAGAAGTCAATGCCCGCCTTCAAAGAATAGGCTGACTCTCTAGTTAGGGGCTAATGCAGCTGGGGACTTTCAGTTGAAGCCAGTGCTCATTTACCATTCTGAAAATTCTAGAACCCTTAAGAATTACACTAAATCTACTCTGCCTGTGTTCTATAAATGGAATAACAAAGCCTGGATGACAGCATATCTATTTACAACACGGTTAACTGAGTATTTTAAGCCCACTGTTGAGAACTACTAGTCAGAAAAGAAGAGTCCTTTTAAAATACTAATTATTGAAAACATTATAGAGGTTCCTCAAGAAGTTAAAAATAGAGCTACCTTACGACCCAGCAATTGCACTAGTGGATATTTACACCAAAGATAGAGATGTAGTGAAAAAAAGGGGCACATGCACCCCAATGTTCATAGCAACAATGTCGGGGGTATAGCTCAGGGGTAGAGCATTTGACTGCATAGCAACAATGTCCACACAAGCCAAACTGTGGAAGGAGCCAAGATGTCCTTCAGCAGATGAATGGATAAAGAAGATATGGTACATATATACAATGGAATACTATTCAGCCAACAAAAAGGATGAATACTTACCATTTGCATTGACATGGATGGAACTGGAGGGTATTATCCTAAGTAAAATAAGTCAATCAGAGAAAGACAATTGTCATATGGTTCCACTTATAGGTGGAATATAAAGAATAGTGCAGAGGACCATAGGGGAAGGGAGGGAAAATTGAATGGGAAGAAATCAGAGGGAGAAAAATCATGAGAGACTCTTGACTCAGGAAAACAAACTGAAGGCTGCAGAAGAGAGGGGGGTGGGGGGATGGGCTAACTGGGTGATGGGTATTGAGGAGGGCACATGATCTGATGAGCACTGGGTGTTATACGCAACTAATGGATCATTGAACACTGCATCAAAAACTAATGATGTACTATATGTTGGCTAATTGAAATTTTAAAAAATAAATAATAATATGCTTATTGACAATGTCCTGGTTACCCAAGAGCTCTGATGGCAATATACAATGAGATTACTACTATCTTCATGCCTGTTAACACAACATCTATTCTGCAGCCTATGGATCAAGGAGTCATTACTACTTTCAAGTCATTATATAAGAAATCCATTTTGTAAAGCTATAGCTGCCATAGTGATTCTTCTGATGGATCTGAGCAAAGCATATTGAAAACCTGGAAAAGTATTCACTATTCTAGATGCCATTAAGAACATTCGTTCATAGCAGCAATGTCCACAATAGCCACTGTGGAAAGAGCCGAGATGCAATAGACAATGGATAAAGAAGATGTGGTCCATATACACAATGGAATATTACTCAGCCATCAGAAAGGATGAATACCCAATTTTTACATCAACATGGATGGGACTGGAGGAGATCATGCTAAGTGAAATAAGTCAAGCAGAGAAAGTCAATTATCATATGGTTTCACTTATTTGTGGAACATAAGGAATAGCACAGAAGACATTAGGAGAAGGAAGGGAAAAATGAAGGGGGGGAAATCGGAGAGGGAGATGAACCATGAGAGACTATGGACTCTCAGAAACAGACCGAGGGTTCTAGAGGGGAGGGGGGGGATGGGTTAGCCTGGTGATGGGTATTAAGGAGGGCACATACTGCTTTGAGCACTGGGTGTTATATGCAAACAATGAATCATGGAACACTACATCAAAAACTAATGAAGGACTGTATGTATGGTGACTAACCTAATAATAATAATAAAAAAGAACATTTGTGATTCATGGGAAGAGATCAAAACATCAACATGAACAGGAGTTTGGAAGAAGCTAGTTCTAGGAGAACTAGAATTAGCAGTGGAGCCTGAAGATGGGACTGAATTGCTGTGATCTCCTGATCAAACTTGGAACACACGAGGAGCTGCTGCTTATGCATGAGCAAAGAAAGTGGTTTCTTGAGATGGAATCTACTCCTGGTGAAGATACCATGAAGATTGTTGAAGTGACAACTAAGGATTTAGAATATTATATAAACTTAGATGATAAAGCAGCGGCAGGGTTGAGAGGACTGACTCCCATTTTGAAAGAAGTTCTGTGGGTAAATGTTACCAAACAGCATTGCGTGCTACAGAGAAATCGTTCGTGAGTCAACACAGCAAACTTTATTGTTGCCTTATTTTAAGAAATTGCCACAGCTGTCCCAACCTTCAGCAACCACCACCCCGATCAGTCAGCAGCCATCAACAGTGAGGCAAGACCCTCCACTGGCAGAAAGACTGACTCACTGAAAACTTCAGAGGATGGTTAGCATTTTTTAGCAATAAAGTATTTTTAAAATTAAGGTATGTAGGTATATTTCTAGATATGCTATTGCACACTTCATAGACTACAGTGTAAATATAACTTTTACATGCACTGGGAAACCAAAAAATTCATTTGACTCACTTTGATATTTGCTTTATTGCAGTGGTCTGGAGCCAAACCTGCAATATCTCCAAGGTATGCCTGGACAAAAATCTTACTTATTCCTCAGATTTTTAAAAACTCTCCTGCCTTCTCATAATGAAATTTCCATAGGACATAGGACATTTTAAATGATCAGTCTCTATAATGCCTAGCAAACTGGAATAGGACTACCTTCACTCAGGATAACTTTTAAAGTCATAAGCAAATCTCCAAGACATAAAAAAAAATTAAGACATTTATCAAGAAGGTCATCTATTATAGAATAACCATACATCTCCCTTTGACTGGACTTTTGCAAGTCTCACCTGACTTTTGTGGATTTTGAAATTTGGTTCTATGTTCCAGTATTTTAGAGGAAAATAAGGCATCTTGCAAGATTCATGTTAAGTCCAAATTTATGTTTATTCTGAGACTATGTTCTTGTGTAGGTTCCCAGAATCCTAGGATCTAAGATCCTAGGCCCACCATTTTAAACCCCTGGATTATTTTTAAAGGGCTCCCTATCTACTCCCTATCTACCCTTCCCAAAAATGTCTAGATCCCTCTATTCCTCTTTTACCATCTCATCTATTTTTAAATTGAACAAACTGTACCAACATTGTTTTCTTCTCAAGCTGAGTTTTTGATGTACCATGGAATCACTCATTTTAAATATATGAAGGAACAGGAGCACTCAAAGCCCTCTAAAGATGAAAATTGTTATGTGCTCCTAATGGGTGAGAAAAACTCGAGACGAAAACATCGATATTCACTGGTATAACCATCTAATAATAGGCACTTTGCTTTTTTTTCCCCTTTACACATTTCTTCAGTGCATCTTCCAGTGATAAACTCAGGACTCAGTGCCAGTGAAAGCACATCCACTTTGGAAGCTTCAGCTCCATCTTATTTATTCGGGTGAGTTCCGAGTTCTCAGTATCTCTTATAACCCATAAAAATAATTCCTGAAGTTACGTAAGAGTAAGATGTCAGTTTCACACAGCTATATTGACCCCGGCAGATGCTATGTGTTAGGCTCAGGCGACCCTCTGACTTCGGAGGGGAACTGGTGTCTGTCAACTCGCAGAATGTGTGAGTGTTCCCTAAGGGGGACACGTCTGCCCCTGGAAGCCCCCCGCCCCACTGCCAGGTGCGCCTCCCAGCCTCCCCGGGCTGCCGGGCACCCACCTGGATCTGTGCTTCGGCGTCCCTCACGGACACACTCAGGGAGCTGCCGGTGGAGCCGGAGCGGGGCCTCTTCTGTCGCAGCAGCTCGGGGCCCGCGCTGAACGAATGGCGCATCTGCCCCTGGTCTATCAAGTGCTGGGGACGCTGAGGCAGCGGGGAGTCCTGGCCCCTCGGACCCAGTGGCTCGCCCTTCTTCTCCCCTTGGACCTCTTTGGGGAACGTGGGCAGGTTATGCTGCTGCTTCCTCTTCTTGTACTCCGTCATCAACTTGGAAATGGTTCTGTCGGCCGCCATGGTGTAGATTTTGTTGCCCGCGCTCTCCCACCACTCCTTCTTCCGGCCGGGGTCCTTCTTCTCCACCTTGGGGCTCGGGGGCAGCAGCAGCAGGTCCCCGCCGCCCGCCCTCAGGCTGCCGGGCTCGCTGGTGTGATCCCGGGTCTGGCTCCGGTCGTCCTCAGAAGGGGTGTCCTTCCCCGAGAACCCGCCAGTTGACGGGGTGGATGACTCCGACTGGAAGGAGGGGAGGATGAAGAACGGGTCACTCCTGAAGACGGGCGCCTCCTCCATGCCGCCCTCCAGGTCCAGGTGCATCTGGATGTAGTGGTTGCACAGCTCCATGCACAGCTTGTGCAGCCGCTTGACCAGCCACACCCAGTCGGCGTTGCTGATGGGCTGCACGCTCAGGGAGGGCAGCCGGGCCCTCCACTGCCGCTTCTCCTTGCCCCTCGGGGGGCTCACCTGGGCCGTCTCCTCAAAAATGTCTTCGTCTTCGGACGAGCACTGCTGGGACGAGTCTGTGCTTCTCTCCTCGTCCTCGAAAAGCACTTTCTTCACTTGCTCGGCCGTGATGGTTTCCTGGTTGGTGAGGACGGCGCAGACCAGCGCGTGGAAATAGATATTAAAGCTCATGGCCGACTGGCGGTAGAGGTTGGCCGCGCCTCCAATGCCAGACACCTTCTTCAGCAGGCACTTCAGCCCAGGGCTCGTGTCGAACTCCCTCGCCGTCCTGTACGAGTCCAGCAGCAGGTCGAATATGACCGCCAGGTTCTGCATGGAGATGTACCTGAGGAAGCCGGCCAGCTTGGCCTCCGGGACTTGCACCGTCTTCTCCTCTCCCGGGGAGGGGCCCTTGACGAACTCTTCTAGCAAGATGTCGTACAGGTTCTGGAGTAACACCTGATGAGACAGCAAGCTCACCACAATCTCCCTGAAAGACACGCTTCAAAAGAAAAGAAGGGGATTGATTAGTAGCCTTCTGCCCCATGCGGGTTACTTTAAAGTGATTCTGATATTACGCACTATACAATGACATAGGCAAAATTATACACTAAACTGCTTTATTTCAATGCTTTCCTTCAAAAAGGGCAAACTTCGGGGTGCCTGGGTGGCTCAGTCAGTGAAGCGTCTGCCTCCGGCTCAGGGTCCTGGGATCAAGTCCCACGTCGGGCTCCCTGCTCAGTGGGGAGTCTGCTTCTCCCTTTCCCTGCCACCCCCCGCCCCCCGTCCCCGCCTTAGGTGTGCTCTCTGTCTCTCTCAAGTAGATAAATAAAATCCTTAAAAAAAAATAAAAGGCCAACTTCTGGGGGCATTACATGATCACCATTTTAATTATGATTAATGGAATTGCCAATACTTTCTCAAACCTAGGCGCTATGTAATATTACTGTTTTAAAAAACTTTTCAGTATAGACACAGTAAAGGGATACAACATTTGACATTTTATTACTTGCAACTATGAAGGAACTAAAATCAGAAAGTAACAATGTCTGGTCAGTTCTGTGAATTTGAATTGGCTCTCTTCTCTACCCTTTGGACTTTGTTTTCAAGCCCAAAGTTGTGAGCAGTCTCACTGAAATCTATCTCTCTAGGGACCAAACCAGTTTACCAGGATTAACTATTAATGCTTTAGGTGCATAGACGTAAAAACTTCAGGGCTTCCAGCACGTGAGATGGATGAGGGCCAAACATTCGCAAAATTAAGAAATAGATAACTCAAGCTTTCTAAACCAAACCTAGGAGAGAGAAAGCTGTGTTCACTCAACACCTGGAATTCTCTTCTGCATCCTTTCCTGCCATCATCATCACAGGACTCCTCTGTGGGCCCCGAATGTTCTTTTGGATCCACTGAGATGCCCCTCAGGTCAGCTATGTGGCATGGGGGGTGGGGTGGGGCAAATAGACACCTGGCCAGGACTTATGGTTGAGAAGTGGGCACAGTGCACATAAGGAAGCCTTACATGTGCCCCTTGGTGATTTGGCCTCTTCTAAGTAAACAATTTCAGTTCTAGGTACTACCTTTACTGACTTATATTCACCCTTGTGGTTTGTGGTTTATGGTTTCACTTTGCTCTTGGAATTGCATGAAAATAGCTTATGCCATTATGTGGCAAACTAATTCCCTTAACAGGGTAATTATAAAAGTATGACAACTCTTATTGTTTATTTCAAAGATCCAATTATGTTAATATGTCTAGCTGTGACCTTGCATTTAAAAATGACTCTTTGGGGCGCCTGGGTGGCTCAGTCGTTAAGCGTCTGCCTTCGGCTCAGGTCATGATCCCAGGGTCCTGGGATCGAGTCCCACATCGGGCTCCCTGCTCAGCGGGAAGCCTGCTTCTCCCTCTCCCACTCCGCCTGCTTGTGTTCCTGCTCTCGCTATCTCTCTCTCTGTCAAATAAATAAATAAAATCTTTAAAAAAATTAAAAATGAAAATAAAATAAATAAATAAATAAAAATGACTCTTTTAACAGAAAAGAACACAGATGCTTCTGTACATTTAAAGGCTGGCCTTGCCCCCCTGCACTGAGGGGACACAGAAGGCTCAGCACAGATCTGTCATTTACAGACTCTAACCCTTTCTAACAAATCACTGAAATGATTTTTTTTTTTTTTTGGTGGTAAAATATACATGATATAAAGTTGCTATTTGAGCCATTTTTAAAAGTACAATTCAGTGGCATTAAGTACCTGCACAATTTTGGGTAACTGTCACCACTATTTCTAGAGCCTTTTCATCCCAAACTCAATACCCCTTGAACAATAACTCCCCATTCTCCCCTCCTTCTGCTAAGTTATTTAAGGTACTAGGAACCCTGAATATGCATTCTTCTGAAGACGAGGCTCTAAAAGCCACCAAGTTGGTCTAGCGTTTCATGTCTACAGCCATAGGATGCTAACTAAAGGGAAATCCTGTCGCCCATCACTCAAATCTGTTCCCTTGTCTGCCCCATTACACTATAAAGTCCTCAAGGGCCAGGGCAGTATCTTATTCATCTTTGTCCCCAGGGCCTGGGAAGATGTAAGTAAGTGTCTAAGACAAATGGAGTAACACGAACAGGCTGGTTCTAAGCGCAGGCGCCTGAACAGATTGCCGCCTGGAGGAAATGTTCTCCTTGAGAAATGGCTCAGACACCTCAACCCTGTGCCCCTGGCAGCCTGGACTCCTGAAGCAGGAACCACAGCCAGAGAGGTGAGTCTGATCAACCTTCGGAAGGTATAAACACCCTAGCCCACAGGACATGATCTATCGTCTTCCCTGAGAGCTGGAAAGTCCTTTCCCAGAAAACATTTAAAAGGATGGTGGATGCAAGGCCATGTGTGAATTATGGAGTATCTTTATCAACCCAAGATAGCCCCTTTGATGCTTTAGGAGATAAAATTGCTAAGTGTGCATGTGAAAAGGACAGAAAATTCCTTTTTCTTTAGGTTCAAGCTACATGCTGCACAATAAGAAAACAAAGGGAAGCAGCCGGAGCAATAGTGAGATAAAAATTTCAGAAAGGTACCGAAAAAGTGAAATAACTGGTTACAGATGTGCAACTCTTAATCACCTATGCTGATAGGAGATTAAAAAAAAAAAAAGACCTGGAACAAACAAAAATCAACAGATAATTTTTCAATTTGTTGTACCCAAGTGTTTCAACCTTTTTCTCCGCACACCCATTATGAAGGGGACTGTGCGTGCTTCTGAGGCCAAGTGCAAAGGAAAGATCTCCTCCTGGAGAGTTAATTGCCCAACAGGTGGCTGACAAGACATGCTAATGCCAGTTTCAGAGAGAAACATTCAGAATTTCAAGTACTACATCTTAAAGCTCTCATACTCAGTGGTTTGTGTGAAGCTCGGGGCTATCAATGCCACGGCGATTTAAAATCACACCCAGGTTTCTCTTTATTAATATTATAATCAATTTGATTTAGGTCTTTTTTTCCATGGGTGACTTCAGCATGGACCTTTGAGGATGCACCTGACAGTATATACATGAACCTTCCTTAGGTCTAACTCATCTTGCGCTACATCCTGTGCTAAGTTAAGAACTGCTCTGTAATAAGAGTCAAATCCAATAATGCCAAGTGGCTCCATGCCTTTGTGCTGTGTGTCTCTGGATAGGTGGCCCAGCCTCTCTGAATGTTTCCCCATGGATAAAATGGGAGGGGAAATATCTAGCCACTGAATCTCATGTATAGTGCTCAAATACTTATCATTACTATTTGTGTGCTGGAAATTTAAAAATGGGAAATTTCAGTCATGGCGATTATCGTCAAGTCTAGGAACAATCGTTTTTTTTAGGCAAAATGGTAGTATTTAAAAATGGCAAGATTAGGGGCACCTGGGTGGCTTAGTCGCTTAAGCGTCGACTCTTGATTTCGGCTCAGGTCATGATCTCAGGGTCTGGGATCAGGCTGCATTGGGCTCCGCATTCAGTGGGGAGTCTCCTTGAGGTTCTGTCTCTCTCCCTCTGCCTCTCCCCCCTACTCTCTCTAAAATAATAAATAAATAAATCTAAAAAGGGCAAGATTCATGTGGAAGGGCACAGATCTTTTTGTCTCCTGACAGCTGGATTGCTCAGGAGAAGTTGATGTATTTCTCCCCCAAAACAACATGAATCAAGCCTCACACTACAAATTTTTTAAAAAAGCATAATATGGATAATACTATAGACACACTCAGTTGTGTCCCCCTCCAGATTCATATGTTGAAGTCCAAACCCACAGTACCACAGTGTGACTGTGCATCTGGAGATAAGGTCTTGAAAAATAATTAGGGTGGGGCCCTAATCCACTGTGACTGGTGTCCTTATAAGAAGAGATTAGGACACAGACATGTACGGAAGAAAGACCATGTGAAGACACAGGGAGAAAGCATCCATCCAGAAGCCAAGGAGAGAGGCCTCAGAAGAAACCAACCCTGCCGCCCCCTGGATCTTGGACTTCCAGGCTCCAGAACTGTGAGCAAATACATTTCTGTTGTTTGAGCCACCCAGTGCATAGTACTCTGTTATGGCAAACTAGTACATGTGAAACGTGGAAGCTCTGGTTAAAAAGTGAACAATTTTCTGTAAAAACCTTTGCTAAATGACTCTACAAATGTTTTCAGTATTCTTAGCTAAAGCTTGGATTACAAGGAGCCATAACCGAAAATAAACGGACTTCCCTTGTTCTAAGTTGCCCACATGTTTAAGCTTATTAGTTGCTTACCTTTTCTTGGTGTGTCCATTTGGCTTCTCATCAGGAGGCAGCTCAATAATGAGCTGACAGGACTGAGCATGATCGAAGTTGTTTGGAGTCTTTGGTGAGCACTGGGTGTCCAACATAAACACCTGCAAAGGTACAGTTCAGAGCTCCATCATCCTCAACCTGACTCCACCAGGGATTAGCTGATTGGCCTTGGGTAAGTTGCTTACTCTTCCTACTCATTTCCTCACCTATAAAGTGAGGCTGATAATGGTTTCCTACCTGGTGTGTTTGTTGAGAGAGTTAATATGTGTGTATTACGTACGCATAGCATTAGAACAGAAGAATAAATATTCAGAAGTTAGCAGCTGACACTAATACTAAGAACACGACTAATTTTATCATGTGACAACTCATTACACTCCAACTAGCAAGCACTGAATTTAATATTGAGAGTAAATAAAGAGGGGTTCTGTTTGTAAAAAATCTTTGATTTTGATGTCTCTGTGGTATTATATTCCATCCAACACAGGAATAGAAATTAATTAGGACCTCCTGTAGGGATTACAGATGTGGCCATGCTACTCTACGGGACTATGGGAGAAGTGACTAAGAAAACAGTAAACACTTCTTGATTCTTCCCTTTGAAAACAGAAGTCTTCTTAAAATGTTTTCTTTCCAAATTTTGTAAGAATTATCAAATTATCTGGGTTATCTGAAAGGTGGATAGAATAGAAAGGTTGGGGACTGAGGAAGAGAAAATATTACAAAGTAAAATCTTCACTAAATGGCCTCTGCCTTTCTTCTCCATTAATGATCTATTGTTTCAGAAGAAGGTTCCATGTTCTTGCTGTGCGGTGGGATGAGTTTGGAAGCCCACTGTAAGCTCATGCAGAAAATCTTTAGCAGTGTAATGGATTCCCATTAGGGAAGCTATCCTGTCAGAGGACCACCTCTCGTTCCGGTGCCCTTCTGCTACAGCTGTCCCCCACAGCCATGTGGACGGAAGTGGGTCTTCACTGCAGCTTTATGACATTCCTTCCCTTCCAACCTCTGTGGACTGGCCGTGGATGCGTCAGTGGTATGTGCTCTCTCCCTTCCGAACAGTAGAGCCATCATGTCCTGGGGTGTCATGAATGTGGACAGTAGATGACGGGAGAAGCTGAAGGTGGAAGGTTCTTGATCCACTATGTGAGGGGTGTTAGGGAAAGTCCTTTAGAAACTGGACCTCGCCAGGAAACTTCTCAACTGATAATCAGGGTATCCTGGATTATTTTTGTACTAAGGAGAGATTTTATTAAGGATTTAAACAGACCTTCTAGAGAAAGGGCACCTTTGAATATAATCCCCAATTCACTTTAAAGAATTAGAATACTTATCCAATAATTCAATCCAACACTGCATATACATTTATAAAAATTGCTTCATGTTTTAAACATACCACACACATTTGCAAAATATCTTCTGCATATGAAGACATACTTCAAACATGTCTGTTGCCAATACATGATAGACCGAATTCTCAACAACCACTCACGATTATGAATATGTGTAAATTTAGGGATAGTGCTTAATCCTGCTGCTGGAAGCCCCATGCAGTCTTAGAGATAGATTGACATGTCACTTAAGTATTTGGGGGCATGTCTGTAGCTAGTGGTAATGCTGGAAGGCCTTTTGTGATTTAGTAACTCTCTTCACTCAACAGACATTTACTACGTGTCTTCTATATGCCTTCCTCTAGGAACACCAAGGTAAGAATATGGTCTCTGCTACTCAGGAGATTACAACCAACTTTTCTGACTTCTGACATCTGCCAGAAGAAAAAAAAGTCATTGGTACACGGTGATCCCTGCATTATTTTAATTTTACTTATGAGTTACATTCCACTGAAATTAAGCAGCTTATAAATGTTAAGCTCTGTATGGGAGATACTAGAAAAAAACCCAAATAGGTTTGCCATCCTTAGGCATTCGTAGACGGTAAGTAACATCAATATTCAAGCAAATATGGATAATATAAGGAGTCCAAGCAAGTCAGGTGGTGTATGAAGTGTAGTGGCCAGGCAGAGAAAGGACTTTAACTGATCTGGGCACTGGAGGACGCACTGAGAAAGAGATGGTGGAGAGGATTATAATGCTGTTGACTGGCTTAGTCATTCCTCATCAAGAACAGTACTAACAAGATGTCAGAGCCAGGAAGGGTATCTCCCTAAGGGAATGAAAGGCAGTCTGGTGATACAAGACTGACAGTAAGAAGCTTCTAGAAGTCCCCAGTCCTTACCTGCTGAGCCATGGCTCGAATTCGCCAGTACTCGGCCTCGGCACTGGGGGAGGAGGAGGGGGCCGCCACCCTCACCTGGCAGCCTTCCCCACTGAAGCTCTCGGTGCCGCTGTGGAAGCAGCCCAGCAGATCCTGGGGAGAAACACAGCAGAGGTTCCCTGGGTGCCTCCGGGCCCCGTCCTGGAGTTGCCATCATCCCTGTGTCTGGGACAAAAGCACTGATCTGACAGCTTCTTTCTCCCCCCTCTGTAGGAGTTCAAGTGAGACTGCCTGCTAAGAGGAGGAAGGCAGCACCCAAATGCCCTACTTGAGAGGCATGAAGATGGGAACCCGCTCTGGCTCTTGCTGCAAGCAATTTACCTTCACGGGCTTGAGGGTGGCGGAGAAGGCGTCCTGCAGGGCACAGCAGGCAAGCCTCCACATTTCTTCAGTGAACACGGGGCCCGCGGTGACGAGGACGTACCTGCTCAAAGAGACAAGGAAAGGAGTCTTGAATTTGTACATGTTGCTGCCCTTACAGAAGCATGCACAGATTTATTCCAAAGCTTCCACGCAAGCCTTGCTGCCTCTTATCACTCTTGTCTTCAATCCAACTGGTGTGCCATTGTCCCAACACTATTTCCTAAGGCATTTCACTACAAAAACATCAATGGGTCCCCATGACAAATACAGCAATGTTTCAACTGAGGCTCGAATGCAAGACTGTATATAGTCTGTACTACTTTTTCCATTCTAGCCCCATTTTCTACTACTCCTAGACAAATAACAACCAAAATAACCAAAACCCTCTTGTTACTTGTGACTCTGATCTCCATAATTAGGTCTGTGATGTTTTGCTTACAAGTCCCCACCTAGCAAAATCTTGCCCACCTCGGGGGATCTGGCCAAGTGTCATTAATAGAAAAAGATCTTCCTGACCATCTACTCCCCTGCCCTCCTTGGCATGTATAGTAACTCCTTCCTATTATCATTTTCTATGCGTCTCTCTCTGTTATGTCCTTTAGAAAAGGCTATTAGTGTCTCGAGGGCAGGGACCTTGGCTGACTTTCCATGCAGCCGAGTACCTCTCGTATAATGCCTTTGTACACAATAAATACTTGTTGATTAAATACTGAAATGAGGAATTATTGGCATATACATACAGATACTTTTACTTCTAGAAAGCGACCCAAAAAGTGGATTGCTACAATAAAAGAATTAAATTCCCTTGGATTTCATAATAAAAAAACTCTTGTGGAGAGCTAGGGAATTTTTTTCCTTACCTAATACAGGAGCAGCCCACTCTGGAGATGGTTTCTGTGGGCTTGGCCACACACGCTACCAGTAACTCAAACAGGTCCTTCAGCATCGTGTTGATCATGCTCTCATACCTGATGTCTACATGGAAAAGTAAAACCAAGATTTCACTCAACTCTGTTGTAAAGGAGGGGGTTGAAATGGCATCTATAGCAACAGGAGAAAGTCTGAGTGATAAAAAGACATATAAATATCTGGGTGGAAAAGGTAATTTTCTTGGATTTTTTAAAAACTCAATTTTAGCCTGTATTAACCATTTCATGATGAAATATGTGTTTTACTTTGATGTGTTGATGGTACATTTTTCGAAGTTATGCATATAATTCATCTACTTCCACAGAATAGAACACATACAGCCTGAATAGTAGCTAGTTAAAAAAAAAAACTGAAATTCTTAAAAAGAGAAAAATGAAACGTATACTTTCCTTATGGCTGATAGACTAATTAAATGCTCTTGGCAAACAAATCCTCTCTCATCTTATTGTCTTCAACTTCTCAGTCTGGCTTCAGTCTGTACACTATCCCCAAAGAAAATGAGACTTCCCCAAATAACGTTCTATTTTCCCAATTCAAGGAATACATCTGTATTCTTTTCCTTGAAGTCCTTGTGATGACACAGATCCAATTTTCAGTGGAATCCTCAATGGTACTGTGCTGGGCAAAGCAATGATCCAGTTGAGAACATCTATCCCTAAGGACAGTTATTGCTTACATGTAGAAACACCCACTTGTTTTCCTTCTCAATTAGTGTTCTTTTTTGTGGAGGCAAGTTGTCCTTCTTAAATTTAGTAGAGCTACCCATTTCTTATCTTTGCTTTTTGATTCTCCCTTGGGGTGGACATCTCACGAGTTTTTCTAACCTCTCCAACAAGGGAGTCCCTTACCTCTTTATAAAGAAAAGCCAAAGGCAATATGGAATTATAACATCTAAGGTTAACAGTGATTTTTTTTCTGACTTCAGTATGCTATCCACCACATACTTTCAGATCTTTTTCAAAATGCCACAGATACTAAGACACTTCACCCCTAACCTCTTAAGCAACTTCTTGCCTATAATTGAAGCCTTTGCTAAAATCTTATCTCCTCCATTTAGCCTCCCAGAGGAAGCAGGAGGATCTGCCCGGCCTCTCACTTCCAGACTACAGGACTAATTCTTTAATTGATTATATACTTGAACTTGCCTCCCCTCTTCTCATGCACAGATCTACTAGATGGCATTATATTTTTAGTCACATATGTATTTTAAGTATCAATTTTCATTTTGATAATCCAGGAGAAGGTTGGCACTGACCACATAATTCTCTTTTACTAATTTCTGGACAAAAATCACACACTGGTATTTATAAGCACTTTCAGACAGTGATGCTTCCCATGAAAAAATTACTCAGCAAGGACTGCTGTGGGAGCACAGGTACCTGAGTGTATAAAGCTTTGAATGTGCTCCACCACCAGCTCACAAGACAGGCCGATGGCATGCTTGAAATTAGCAGAAGCCGCATCCCAGTATGAATGGTCTTTGTGGCTACGGCGGAGCCAAACGGACATCACAGGGAGGAGGAGGTGAACAACTGCATAGATACCAAATCCTGGTCCTGAAAAAGAAAAGTCAGCATCAGAACTGTGATCACAGCAGCTCCCCTGTAGGGAAACAGAAGTTACCGTCATGGCTTGGCATGGCCCAGCTCTTTCACAGGAGGGCCCCAACCCCCCCAGCCCCCCGCCCGCCGCCGAGAAGCTGCAAGGAAAAAGAATTTACTACTGATTGGGGAATACATGGTCTTCAGTGGCATTTTTCTTTTTCTTTTTTTTTTTTAAGATTTATTTTAGAGAGCACGTGAATTGGGGGAGGAGCAGAGGGAGAAGGAGAGAGAATCTCAGGCAGACTCCCTGCTGAGCGCAGAGCCAGACGTGGGGTTCAATCTTCCTCTTTTTTGTTTCTGTATGAATTTAGTTATGCAAATGATACATGAAATCATGAAAAATTCAAATAATACCAATAAAGCTAAAGTATCATCTGATTAACTCCAGTCCCCAGATGGAAACATACAGATGCATATACACATATAAGAAAATATCCCCTAAAGTTTACATACAAATATCTATATGAAACCTCAAGAAACACGTTAACATGTGTTAGAGATCATTGTGTCAGTGGATTTAGATATTCCTCATTTTTACTGCCACATACCATAATTCCATTGTATGTATACACAACACTTATCTGTTCCCTTACTGATAGACATTTAAGGTGTTCTAATTTTTTTGCTTTATGGACAATGCTATAATGAAAATCCTTGTGAAAGTGATGGACTTTTAAAGTTCTGATTACAAAAGTAAGCATCCTTTTTCTAATAAACACGGAAAACAACATGAGAATACAAAGAAGAAACCTTACCCACAGAGATAATCACCTTTTCATGTTTGACTTCTAGTCTTTTTGAATGTACATGTGTATTTACAGATGGATAAAATTTCATAATGTTGTGATTGTACTCCATAGTATATATACTTTAAATGTTATTCACAAATACTCATTTTAACATCTGTGGAATATTTATATGCTCTTACCATTTAGGGTGTTCGTAATTTTTTTGGTGTTCAATATATTTCAGCAATCATTATATACCCATTTTGTCTTCATCACTATTAAGTTCCTTTGATGATAGATTTCTAGTAAAATTAATTAGGTTAGGTGCTCCTCACACACATTTAATGGCAATGTGAAAACAGAAAACGGTACTGACTAGTGAAAGAGAGGCATATAATTAATTCTATAAAATACCTGCTTATTTTTGGATAAAAGACTTATAACTTTTTGACATATGGGAGTAGCTATGCTGGCTTTTCTGAAAAAAATTCTGCTATAAATTTTGCAATGGATCTTAAAACAGTATCAATTATCAAGTCTTCATCAGTTTGTGATAAATACAAAACTCATTACTATGGAATTAACTAGTGGGTTCATTTGTGGTTCTGACTCTGTGAAAACTAAAATTTCTATAGTTGCTTGGATCTTGGGAAAATTTGCATGTGTTAAGTGTACATGCTAAATTTGATTAATTCAAAAGAAGAAATAAATTCCTCAGGGCCATTCTTTTCCTGTACTATCAAGGTACTAGGTGATCATTACATGTCTTTTTCTTTTTTTAAGAGAGAGAGAGTGAGAGAGTGAGTACGAGCAGAGAGAGGGGCAGCGGGAGAGGGAGAGAGAGAGACAATCTTAAGCAGGCTCCACCCTGAGATCATGACCTAAGCTGAAATCAAGAGTCAGATGCTCCACTGACTGAGCCACCCAGGCGCCCCTACATGTCTCTTTCTCAGTCTAACGATCCATGACCTTTATACATTCAGGATTTTGCTGTCTTAATATAGTATATACTTTTGAGTGATTTGTTTATGTCACTGGAGACTCAGCGAGCCCTATTGACAGCCCTGGGGCCAAGAGCATGTAAGATCCAGCTAAAGAGGAAGGCTGTAATCATGGAACAAAGCCAATAACCTTGGCCTGATTATTGTAGGGATCCAACACACCCAACTAACTGGATAGCGTACATTATCTGTAAATGGACTGGTGGGAAGACATGTCAACAATAACAGGACATATCTTAACCACCACTGCATCATTGCTATTCAACAAGTATTTACTGAGCATCTACTATGCATGAAGCTCTGTACCAAGGCTAGGGTAAGAGCTGTGAAACAGGCAGACACATGGAAATACCTTCCTGAAAAAAGTTGTATGTATGACAACTCCCCACAAAAGACAGACATAGAAATTCTTACCAGGTGTTCTGGTCACATCTCTCAACAGCTCGAAGAGTAAATCCAAGGTTGGCGGTTGGTGCTGACGGGGACAGTTGGACACAGCTGCTGTCAGCTGCTCCAGGAGGATGATCCAGACTTCTATCAGCCCTGGAACCCAAGAAGCAGATCTCGGTGAAATCCAGTCGAACACGATACAGAGTCATCATAAGCTCAACCCGAACACTGTCAGTGTCGAAGTGTGCCATATGGTGTGGTAGCCCGGAGTGTCTACAAGCATATGGGCAGATTATGATTTACATGCTCTAACAAAGTCAAAGGGGGGAAAAAACCCCAAAATTTCTTCTCATCCTCCTACAGGAAGAAGATGAGGTGGTAAATTCTACTATATTGAAATAACTGTCAGATTTCTTGGGAGCTGACAATACCAAAATAATGAAATATCCTTTTGTATCATCTTAGTATATCTTTTTTTAAAAAAATTATTTTATTTTAAATATATAACACAAATTTGCCACTTTAACCCTTTTCACATATACAATTCAGTGGTATTCATTACGTGCATGGTTTTGTGCAACCATCACCACTCCCTAATTCCAAAAATTTTTTTTTAATCATCTCAAACAGAAGCCCTGCAACCAGTAACTTTCGATTCTCCCCTCACCCCAGCCCCTGGGAACCTCTCATCTACTTTCTGTCTTTATGAAGTTGCCCATTCTGGATATTTCATATAAGTGGAATCACGCAGTATTTGTGTTTCCGCATCTGACTTATATCATTTAGCATAATGTTTTCCAGGTCCATCCGTGTTGTACTGTGTATCGGATGAGTAATATCCCCTTGTATGTTGTACCATGTTCTGTTTGTTCATCCACCTGTTGATGGGCACTTGCATTGTTTCCACCTTTGGCTGTGGTGAATAAGGCTGCAATGAACATAGGAGTGTAAGTATCTGTTTCAGTCTCTCAATTCCTTAGGGTATAGACCCAGGAGAGGGATTTCTGGGTCATCTAGTAGTTCTGTTTAGCTTTTTAAAGAAATACCAAATTGTTTTCTATAGAGGCTGCACCGTTTTATATTCCTGTGAGCGTGCCAATTTCTCCACATCCTTGCCAACACTTATTTTTTGTTTGTTTAACCATAGCCATCCTAGTAGGTGTGAAGTGGCATTGCACTGTGGTTTTGGTTTACAGTTCCCTGATGACTAATGATGTGGAGCATCCTTTCACGTGCTCATCGGCTATTTGTCGATCTTTTAAGAAATATCTATTCATGTCCCTTGCCCATTTTTAAATTGTGTTGTCTTGTTGAGTTTTAGGGATTCTTTATATATTCTGGATATTAAGATGAGATATGAGATATGAGAAATAGGATTTACAAACATGTTCTCCTTTCGACTGTCCTTTCACTTTCTTGGTAATGTCCTTTGATGCATAAAAGTCTTTAATTTTGATGACATCCGAGTCATCCAGTTTTTCTTTTGTTGCTTGTGTGTGCTAGTCTATTTTCTTTGCTCTTCTTCGTGCCCCACTTTTTTCAAAGGTCCATGTCTCTCTCTCTCTTTTTTTTTTTTGCAATCTACGCACTCTTTTGAATTTAGCTGCCACCCTGCCGTCAGCGCTGCTGGTGCTCTCTCCGCCCGGGTACCTGCGAGTCACTTCGTGTACTGCGCACGGATGGGGAGCAGTGCTTGCGCATCGACAGAATCGCATGCCCAGGGCGGCTCACCTCTCAGTACACACCTCCGTCCTCCTCCTCCCCTTCAGAGTTTCATTTTTAAAATAACATACTCATTGGGCTCCCTGCTCCGCGGGAAGCCTGCTTCTCCCTCTCCCACTCCCCCTGCTTGTGTTCCCTCTCTCCCTGTGTCTCTCTCTGTCAAATAAATAAATAAAATAAAAATAAAATAACATACTCACTTTTAGTATTGCTCATTATTAGGGAAGGGGAAAAGCATGAGATGCTTTTTATTAGATCCGAACAATTTTAGTTTTGCCATTTACAGAAGCCCTGTCTGAGCAACATTCCTGCTCACCCCTGCCTTTGGAAATCTGTGAACCTGCCGCTCAGATAAGTGCCGCACAGAAAGGACTCGACTTCTCTAGCTTCATCCTAAAGTGCCTAGAATAGAGTATAAAAAAATAGCCCACCCTACATTTTAATTCTAATACTTCTCATTTTCCTGTGAAAGATAACTGTCAAAAGATGGCAGCTTTTAAGTATTCCCATTAATCACTGGGGAGTCTGGGTGGCTCAGTTGGTGAAGCATCCGCCTTCGGCTCAGGTCATGATCCCGGGGTCCTGGGTTGGAGCCCTGCGTTGGGCTCCCTGCTCCACGGGGGGCCTGCTTCTCCCTCTCCCTGTCCCTCCCCTCTGTTCGTGTTCTCTCAAATAAATAAATAAAATCTTTAAAAAAAATGAATATTCCCATTAAAAAACCTACTTCCACAATTTTGAACATCCCCATTCATAGGAAGCTAAACCCACATGAACCCACAAATATAATAAAATTAGGGGACAAAGGCTCATGAAACTCAAAATATAAGCAGGTGTGAACAAGCTAATTTATAGGAAATGCAGAAGCCAGGATCACATGTTATGCATCACCCTAGGGGGTACAACCAATAAAGTCCACGTGGAAAACTCCACAGGCCCCGGGACCTCACTTCTTCAACAAATGAAAAGGAGTGAGAAAGAGTTGAAGAGGAAAATCTAGAGATTGAAAAGTACTTCAGAGACCTATCAGCCAAACATAGAGTGCAGATCTTATGTGAATCCTGAAAATTCACTGACATAAGAAAATGGGAAATGTTAACACTGAATGGATATTTGATATTCAATAATTACTGTTAATTTTTAGGTGTGATAATGGAATTATGGTCATGTTTGTTATGTTTAAAGAACATATACTGAAACATTTACAGATGAAATGCTATAATGTCTGGGATCTGGTTTAAAATAGAGGATGTGAGTGGGGGGAGGAGATAGTGAGGGTGTGCGTGTAAATATACATAATAGATTGGCCATAAGTTAATATGGATGGACATAAAGCTAGGTGACGGGTACATGAAGGTTCATTATACCATTCTGTCTAGGTTCATCCATGTTTGAAATTTCAATAGGGAAAAAAAATTACTTGCTTTTGGAAACCAGAGGAATAACATCTAAGAGCATATCAATTTTTTTTTTTTAATGAGAGAGAGAGAGAGAGAGCATGAGAGGGAGGAGGGTCAGAGGGAGAAGCAGGCTCCCCGCTGAGCAGGGAGAGCATATCAATTTTTAGTACTAAGTTGAAGCCTTTGCTTTCAATTCTTTTCTCTGAGCTAGCTACGCTTCATATATAATTACGAAGATTATAATTTCAATTATAATTGAAAGGTCTCAATGAATTGATAATGTGGAAAACCTGACATAGGTCTTGGCTGAACTTTATCCATAAGAAGATGGGCTGCCTAGAAAAAAACAATGGATTAATGATTTGCACAATGGAAAGAGGATTGCTGACTGCTACGCACACAAACCATTTACAACTGTTTTAAAGACTGTAATATAGATAAACAACATTAGCTTCTGTTTATAGTTGTCTGGGTTGGAGGTTTAAGAGGCTAAGTAAAATTTTTTCTTAACTAATCATTAAATGAAACCTCTATTAGGCAACATCTAGCCAATTTCCATTTTAATTGTTCTCTACATTAGCTGTTCTTTCCTATGGTTCTTCCTTAAAATTAGTCTCAACTAGTGAGGCTTTACTGTTTATAAAGCCCTATAGAAAATTGTAAATCCTCTCACTACTCTAAGTGAATTTATAATAGAAAAATAAAAAAAATTGAAAATGAATAAAAAAGCAAATTTAAAAAAAAAAAAACCCTCCCCAAAACTCCTTTTGCAAGGGTTTGAATCAACCTATGCCAGTTATTAGTCCCCTTTAAGGATATAATTTCCACTTCTAGATCTAGAACAGGGCAGGGTCGACTGAGTCAGAAGACAAGCATGAGCGTGAGTTAACCCATCTGAAAATTTCCCAAAGTTACTAGACTGAACTCCAATCCACAGGAAATTACATGGGAACTAATTTGAAACATTCTTTAAAATTATTCTTTTAATGAGCCTTCAGTTCCACCAGTCACAAATAGATTCTCTCTTCAGTAGTGGCTTAATTTCCCCAGTCTCTAAGCAAATAGTCCTGCAGGAAGTAATTACATAATGATTGTGTTTCCTAGAAGGTATTAAAGACAATTACCAGCCAATTTAAGTACCAATGCAACCACATTCCAATTTGCTAAATTATAGAGAATTCAGAGTTAGAAACTATATTTAGTGGAGTCTGCAGATCTGCACTGAGCTTGGATGGAGGCATCTGTCTAAAAAGGATGGGTTTGGAGACAAGACATCAAATGATGTTTCTAAGCAGTCCATGGCAACTTTAGGTAGGCCTGTGCTATTTAAATTAAAAACGGTAGCAACATAAATAGATGATCATTCTTATGACCTATAAGCTACTGAACTCATGGCTTAAGTGTCTGGGAATATGAACATAGCAAATAACCTAAGTTCAGTCAATTAACTCACCAGTGTCGTCATCAAAATCAGACAGGACCGACTCCATTCCATCCTCACTGCTCGCCGACTGCTCCTGAAGTCTCCGAGGCAAGCTAGCAAGTCGCCCACTAAGGAATATTGGCTTCAAGGGCATTTTGTAGATTTTGGCCAGTAACTAAATAACAAAATACCAAATTGCAATTATATATCGGAAAAAGCTGCACTCGAGGAGTTAAAGAAGAATAAAATTATATTCCAGCAATACTGGGGTTAGGGAAAAGCAGAAAAGCTCCCAGCGTATGCAAGTTTTGAGGTGGTTTGTGATTTGGATTCATATGGGAGCTCATGAGAGGCATCTATCCCAGGGAGCAGATGAAACAGCATTTAGTGGAAACAAAAAGGTAGAGGAAAAAGGCTCTAGGGATACTTTTTCAGCATCTCAATTACCTATGAGTTTTATAGCCTTTTGTAAACCGACCCAGGGAACCACAAAAACATGTTAAGAGCTTTTGCCTATGGGAAACTGTTCTATGGGGATTACTGAGAAGAGGGTCTATAGGTAAATGGGGTACCAGACTGAGTTCCCCTTCCCTTGCTTCAATGCAATGAGGCCACCAGTAAGTGGGTAAAGGGAGGCATCTGTGGGCCAGCGTGGGGACAGATGAAGGTATCGGCAGCAGACCTGACAGACTGCCCTGGGTTCTTTATTCCCCTCACTGCAAGAGCCCAGTCCCCCAGGAATCCTCATTAGTGGGCCAAATTCCCCAGGATCTTCACGGCTTAGAATTGTGCTTGCTGTGCTAGGGAAGGAGCTGTGGGTGAGGCAGACAAAAGTCCTGTCCGGGGGGGTTTTACGATGATCCTTTCACAAAGAATAAATACGATTTTGGACATAAAGCCTATAGAAAAAATTAGGTGATACTAGAGTGACCAGGGAATGTGGGAGCGTTGGCTGTGAGCTGGTAGATACTTAAGCTCTGGTCTCTCTGAGGAGGTGATGTTTCAGATGAGATCCAGGAAGATAAAGAGTGTCTCAAGGAGATGTGGGGAGAGGACATTCCGGGCAGAGGGAACAGCAATGGCCCTGAGCAGTAAGGCGCCACGTATCTGAGGGGAAGAAAGTCAGTGTGGGTGGAACACAGAGCGAGAGGGAAGGATCTGAGGGTGGCAAGGGAGCTGGGATCCTGTCACGTGGGGCCTCGTGGAGGCAGCTGAGGGGGAGAAGCTGGGGCTGGGTATCCTTTCTAAAGCCCTGGGACTTCACACTAGCGCTGCTATCACTGTGGGGGTGGTTCCACAGACAGGAAGAGGCCTGGGGACACGACCTGCAAGGATGGGAGGGCAACTACTGAAAGCATTACTGAAGCCTGGGGGAGAAAGGGCTTCAGGAGGGAGCATCCTCTTGGGATAATGGCAATTACTGGATTTAGCACAATGAAGGTTGCTGTTCCCTTTGATAAGTGTGGTTTCATGGCATTTCTTCACTGGATCTTGACTGAATGTGCCCCTCTTTTGTCTTTGTCTCTCTTCGATGGTGGCACCCCCACCATCCACGTCCTATCATGAAGACTTCCCAGGGCCTCATGACCCCTCTCCCTACAGCCTGACACAAAGAGAGAGATTAGGGCAGTTCCCGTGTCTGAGTATACGTGACAAGTTTCAGAGATTTCAATTGAATTGCGTGTTCTAGCACATGTTTGTTCCTTTCTTTCTCTCCTTCACGGAAAGGGGGGGACAAAAATTCCTACTCCAGATCTAAGTCCCCACTCTCCTCAGAGTCAGCAGGAAGTGTTTCTCTTGGGCTTCGACAAAAGACATCCATGCCCGTTTTGCGAGCATTGTCCCAGGCGGGTTTCAGGGCCTGGAGCTCAGGGTACCTGAGAGCAGCGCCTGAGGTAATCCAGGGCCGGGAGGCACAGGTCTGGGGCCGTGGCTCCGGGTCCCGGGACGCAGTCTCCTATTTCCTTACAGTCCACCTCCCCTGGAAGACAGACAGACAAAATGACTCTTGCGTTCCCCTTCAACAGGAGACCTATTTATTCACACAGCATTCGTTCATTAAATGTTGACTAAAATAGAAAAAAAAAACTGACCCCAAACTCTGCGACCCTGAGAAGAATCCTTTCAGTCATTTTTCCCCCTCTGCATGTGTACATGTTAAATACAGTTGGGAATCATACCGTGCATCTTATTTTGTTGGGATTATCCCATTTTGTAACTCCCCTTTTCACTAACCCACACTTTTCCCATATTCTACCACAATTCCTTCAGTGGCTGGCTGGTGTTCTTTTGGACCTGGGCACACTGTAACTCCCTTCACCGCGCCCCTGCTGCGGACGGTGTGACTTTGAAGCTTGATGATGAAGGACAATCTTGGCGACAAGCCACGCCCTGGGCCGGAGTGAAGCACTAGGCTTCTCTGTTTGGAAAAGGACCCTTTTGCTTCCAGTGCTCTGTGCTAAATGGTGATGATAAATAAAGCCCCTGGGTAGAGGCTAAACATCTGGGGCTTGGGGATGGAGACTACTGAATTGCATTGAAATGATTTCCATTTTTTTGTGGTACGTATCTAGAGATTTTGCAGTTCTGTAGAGGGCATCTCGATTTTCTATAGGTAAATAGTAGTTGAGGATTACCATTTTTCTTCTCACGTAATGAATCTATTCCCATACTTTTAATAAAATCATTCCACGGTACTGTAATTGTTTCTAATTGTCTACAATCGTAGCCACTAGGCACCCTCCCCTGTGGGTAAACAGACCTAATTACTAGGCATCAGTTAAAATTCAGATGAAGAGGCATGTTTCTCCTTAAAAAAGAAAAGATAAACATTTGTATTTTAGATCAGGGATTGGCAAACTTCTTGTGTACAGGGCCAGACAGTAAATACTTGAGGCTTTGCGGGTCACCCTGTTTCTGTTACAGCTTCCCAAATCTGCCGTTGTAACCCGAAACTAGTTATAGACAAATGACCATGGCTGTGTTCCAATAAACTTTATTTATAAAAACTATCAATGGGTTGGATCTGGCCTGCAGGCCATTGTTCGCCAGCCCCTGGTTTGGATTAACATACTTTACAATATAAAAACACAGACTAGGTCAAATTCATGTTGAAATAACCAGGTGGGAATTAAAAATAAATTCATTTCTTAGCCTGTTGGTCAAAATGAGCATTCCAGTTTTTGTTTTTTTTTTTTAAACCAAGGTTGCAGTGTTACACATCAAAGTCTATCCAAATGGCACCCCCTGGAGTCTGGGGTGGGACACAGCCAGCGTGACTACTGGGGGCTCAACGGTTCCCACAGACTCCACGCCCCATACAAGTAACTCCACCTTATAATTCACAGAAAAAACCATCCTCCAAGCGCATACCGATTATTCTGCATCTCTGTTTGCTGCCTCTAACTCCCTCCCTAAGATAAAATCTCAAATTTGTAACTTGCTGCTAGGCATCTCCACTTGAATGGAATTTCACAGAAGCTCAACCTATCCAAATGTCCAAAGATAGAATTCATTATTTTTTCTTCTCCACACCTAATCTTCTCTCCTTTTTTTTTTTTTTTTTAATTTATTTGACAGAGAAAGACAGACCGAGAGAGGGAACACAAGCAGGGGGAGTGGGAGAGGGAGAAGCAGGCTTCCCGCCGAGCAGGGAGCCCGATGCAGGGGCTCCATCCCAGGACCCTTGGGATCATGACCTGAGCCAAAGGCAGACGCTTAACGACTGAGCCACCCAGGCGCCCCTAATCTTCTCTCCTTTTGAACACCTTATTTCTGGGTAGCACCAGTCCTTGTAAGGGGAGCAGGGAGCCATGCTCAGTTCCTCCTCTTCAGGCCCCCACTGGAGCAGTGCTAAGCCCCACAGATCCCACCTCTACCATGAGCTGGAGCCAATCCCACCCTCTCTACTCTCTGCCTGCAGCCTCCCATCCCCACGTAGGGGACGTGAGCCTGCCAGAGTTCGGTTTCTAACACTGTATGTGATTGTACCACTCTTTACTTAGAAACCTTCCCCACACATTCTGGATCCTGATGTGGCACACAGAACCCTTCCCAACTGCCCCCTTCCTTTCTTTCCAACTCATCGCTCACTCTGTGGGTACCTCCAATGTACCCTGTTTTTAGAAAAGCAAACCTATAGCTTACTCCACAGAGTTCAAATATCACTTCCTCTTTGAAGCCTGCACTGGCCCCCACTACCAAACATCTCTCTCAGCTGCTTCTTTATTTCTGTTTAAATGCCCTTTTCCTTTTCTCTTTTTACTAGCCTCCACGAAAGTATTCGTCTTACTGAATTGTAAGTATTGATTTATGTGTGTTTCCGAGAAGAGGCTGTGAGCCTCTCATAGGCAGGAAGCGTGTTTTACTCATCCTTATACCTTCATAGTACATACAGGCTGGTGTGCCCACATGGCAGGCACTCAACAGTTCCCTGAATAAGAGAATACCAGTAATGACTCTTAAATGAAATATAAGATTGTGACATAATAGCAAATGCATATATTGGTCTCTGCTCCCAGTTCCTGGCACAGAGTTCCTAAAACCCTTGTAATTTCCCAAGCAGTAAGAATACTAGAAGCATCTTGTGTTCTAATGTTTGGTCTTTGACTCCAAATTCCTGACACAGAGCTCCTAAATCCTTGGGATTTCCTGGATGATAGGAGGGTCTTCTAATCAAGGCAACACGTGGTGGGCTCTTGCATGTGGACTGGTCACCAGAAAGACCAAGCCACAACTAGAAGCTTGAAATGTTCAGCCCCTTTCCGTGTCCTATGGGAAAGGGCCTGGAAAAAGAGTTAAAGATCTATCCTGCCTACATGATGAAGCCTCCATAAAAATTCCAAAAGTAGGGGTTGCGGAGAGCTTCTGGGTTGGTGAACACATCTCCATGCTGGGAGGGTGGCACACCCCCACTCCATGGGGACAAAAGCTCCTGTGTTTGGGACCCTTATGGATCTCGCCCAATGTATCTCTTTATCTGGCTGTTCATTTGTATCCCTTATTATATCCTTCATTATATAAGAAACTGGTAAACATGTTCCCGAGTTCTGTGAGTTGTTCCAACAACTAACCAAATTCAACGGGTGGGGGTCATGGAACCTCCAGTGTGTAGCCATGTCAGAGTTGTGGGTAACCTGGGGACCTACCTTTGTTTTGGCACGTGAAGTGGAGGGGCAGTCTTGTGGGACTGAGCCCCTAACCTGTGGAGTCTGAGCTAACTCCAGGGAGTGTCAGAATTGAATTGAGTTATGGGACACCCAGCTGGTGTGAGACCCGCCCCCTCCACGTCCAGTGTCAGAGGACTATGAGTGTGGCAGCTGGGGGAGAAGAAAGGAGACACCCAGGAGTGAGCTTTTCCTGTACAAGAACTGAATTTTCTATTACCTGATACAAAGATCATACTTTAAGGTCTTCTTATGATGGAGATACTAAATTTTTTGGTTTCTATTTAATGTAGAGCAGAGTTAAAAAAAAAAAAAATCTGATGCTGTTGTTCACAAGAAACTTCCTCCGAAACCTAGTTTGTAAAATTGATTAGCAAGTGGCCACGGTTGTCCTTCTGCTTAGTCCTCCGTTTCCCGGGGTGTACGTGACAACAGAATGGGGCACATGTAATAAATAACAGACTAGAACAACCATGGCCTACAGATCACACTTGTTGCCTTTATCCTGAAACTTGCATTTTGTTCCTGCTCCCCCAAAAGGGGAACGTGAATGAAATCACCTAGCTTCTTTGTGTCCAGTCTTTTTCTGCAAATGAACTGTAGATTATTGAGCAAAAATTTAAAAAAATATTATGAACTGTATATTGTCCTTCTTCCAATTGTTCTTAGCCTCAGGGTCTAAGAGCACTCCATGGTGAGGTTCTCAAAACTTTAAGACTTAAGTGCCTTCTAAAATTTTTGGTTTCACTAACTGCCCTCCCTTCCGTTTCACCCCAGATAAACTTGTGCTCTAAAAAAAATCTGCTACAGCAGGCCATGTTGTATAGCAAGACTCTACTTTGTTCAAGCATTGCTAAATTAAGCGGAAAATCAGCTTGGTAGTCTGTGAAACACACAAGGCCTCGAAGAAGGGGGACTTTTACCCTCCAAAGAAATGTTATGACTAATAAGGCCCAGGGGGAGGCATCCTTAATTTTTGTTTAGGAGGAGCGGGAAACTCCAGCTCAGGCTGCTAATTATGTGACATCGACCACAGCAGCTCCTGCATAAGGGCGATTATAGAATATAATGCTGAATATTTTAAGATTCAAAATGAAGTTGGAGTAAAGTAACATATAGATTGAAAATATGCTACATTACAAGAGTATTCCAGGAACATGATGAAAAATAGCAACCAGGGACAGAATCCAAGCTGCTTTTACAGTAAGCTTTCTGCTTCTGAATACACAACACACACCACCATCTGCTTAAAGCCAGGGTGACTGGCTTGCTTGCTCCATGCAGGCAGGGGGCCTGTCTCCAGGGCTTTCCACACAAAGTCATCCAGGAAAGGGCCCCCAGCTGTCACAAGGGACGAAAAGAAGACTCCACTCACCCAGTCCTTTGACAAACTTCATAAGGCACATGATGTAACTTGTGGCTGCATTAGCAAAGACCTGGATGTTGTCGGTATTGAGAAACGCTTCAAATACATCAAACACTGGAGCCTGGCCTTTTCCTAAGGGAGGAAGGTTGTAGAATTTTAAGAACATCAAGTCTCTACCCTTCAGGTTGCCCATACTCCCAGCATCTTCCATGGAGTTTTGGGAAAGACCTAGTACTGGAGGAAATCCCTGGCCTTTTGATGGACGGGGGCGGGGCTGCAATGCTGTGCTCAGCTTTGCCTGCAGGGGGAGCTGCAGGAAGGTTACAAATGCGAGGCGAGCTCGGTAGAGAGATGAGGGCAAAGCCAGCTAGCTCAATGCAGCGCTGCGGTAATGGATGGGTCTCCAGGGTAGTGAAACATGCAGGCCTCTGGGATTCTGAACACATAATTATAGGGAAGGGAAGATTTAGATAAGCCCCGATGGCATACACTAATTGCTTCATAACTGTGCAGAAGAGAGTTAACAGGCTCGAGATTGCCTTAGAAAGGTCTGCTTACGAGATCAGCCCTTGGCCGACATCTGGGAACTTGGCTCTCAGAATATTCCCAGGCAACAGTTAACTGATGAAGAGTGATTCACTGTGCCTAGGTTATGCAAACAACATGGTTTATTCTGAACACGTGCTTTCCTTTGGGGAGTCTGGGATTTTGGTAGGTGCTAGGCAGAGGATACCTATGTGGCCGGCTCATAGATGGGTCTCCAGTGGGCTTTGCTGGGGAGAAATATCATACTCATGTTGCTGCATTTTCACTCCTGGATCAGAGTATGCTCTGTGGGACCCTCGGGGAAGGCTGAGAGCACATGGAAGCCTGCACAGGGATTTGCCCTGATTCTGTGTCTTCTGTCCTTACAATCTGGCTTGTCCTTACTATGTTGCCATGATAATCTTAGTGGTGAGCCATGTAATAAATCTGAGCCATGCAATAAGACTTAGCATACGTATATGCTGAGTCCTGTGAGTTCCCTGGTGGGTCTCTGGACATGCTTTATGGGTCCCCATTCATTTCCAGCTAAACCCAATTTTCCTAACTGGGACTCAACTGTGTTATGATGCTTTTCTGCTTCTTACGCGTAAGCCAATAATGTTTTCTTTTGTGGCTTTAGGTATTGACTCAACACAGATATGTATAACTGAAACAACAGAAGTGTCAGCATTTTGTCTAATCTGTCAGTAAGAGCAGGGCCTGATAATGCTCAGGGTTCTTGGTCCGCCAGGAGAACTCAGAATGTGTGTCTCTGCTACACCAGATCATTTCCTGCCAAGAAAACATGGCTGAATGATAGCCTTCCCTGTTGTTCAGTTTCTTTTGATAGCATGAAAATTGGCTTCAAGAATTCATACTTTGACAAAAATCATCTACACATTCTTCCCTCTCACCACCCATATTTAACATAGTACTGGAAATACTCCCCAGAGCAACTAGGCAGGAAAAAAAATAAATAAATAAAACACAACCAAATCAGAAAAGAAGGAGTAAAATTGCCTCTTTGTAGATCACATGATCTATTTTATTTAGAAAATCCTAAAGACGTCACCCAAAACTTTATAACAAATAAATGCATTCAGTAAAGTTTCAGGATACAAAATCAACACACGTTCTTACCCATGGAATAATCACCAACCAGATACTCCTTCACCTCAGACTTGTTCCCACTGTGCACAGTTTCCAGGGCACTGAACAAGGGCCTCCATCCTGACTGGATTTGTGTGGAACAAACTTCAACTAGCTCGCCAATGGATGTGACAACCTGGCGGAGGCAAAGGAGGTGGCACTTAAAACCTTTTCCTAAAAGAAGCAGGAAAATTTCTGGGAAGGGTGATATACTTCTCTGTTTCCTATTTCTGGGTTAATTTCAGTGAAAAAAAAAAAAAACAAAACCAGAATTCAGCCGAACCCACTCAAAAATCTTCTAAATAAGCAGCCATATTGCATTAATTTGCATTTTGCTAATGACTAATGTTGTTGAGCAACTTTTCACGTGATTTGCCATCTGCAAATGTTTTGCTGTTTTTTAAAAATTTGGTTTTTGTCTTCTCATTATTGTCTTTTTTAAAAGAAAGATTTATCTATTTTAGAGAGAGAGAACATGAGCGTAGGTGGGGAGGGGCAGAAGGAGAGGGAGAGAATCTCAAGCAGACTCCACGCTGAGGGCGGAGTCCAACATGGGGCTCGATCTCACGACCCCAAGATCATGACCTGAGCCAAAACCAAGAGTTGGATGCTTAACTGACTGTGCCACCCAGGAGCCTCTCATTATTGTCTTTTTATTAATGAGTTGTTAGAGTTCTTTACATATTCTAGGTTCAAGTCTTTCCTCAGAGACATGATTTACATTTTTTTTTTTTACAACTTTGACTTTGTCTTTTTATTTTTTAATGGTGTCTTTTGAAGAACAAGTTTTTAATTCTGATGAAACCTAATTCAATTTCTCTTTTTATGGATCATGTTTGTGTCATTCCTAAGAAATCTGTGCCTAACCCAAGGGCTCAAAGATCGTTTCTAGTAATATTTACCATATTGGTGTCCATTTTGCCCGACGTTAATACGGCCTCCCCAGCTCTTTCGTGGTTACTGTTTGCACAGCATATCATTCTCAGTACTTTTACTTTCAATCTCTTTGTGCCTTTGAATGCAAAATCTGTCTCTTGTAGACTGCATATTGTAATATCTTATTGTTACATCCACTTTACAATTCTTTCTGATAGTTCAGTCAATTCATGTTTAACATCTTTATTGAGATATAAATTCCATACAATAAGATTTACCCATTTATACTGTACAATTTGTTGTTTTTTTAGCATATTCAGAGAGTTGTGCAACCATCACTAATCTAATTTTAGAACAGTTTCATGACCTGCCTGTGTCCCCAAAGCCAAGATGTGCTAGCAGGCATTCCCTCCACACCCTAGGCAATCACTAACTTACTTTTTCTCTCTATAGATTTGCTTCTTATGGACATTTTACATAAATGAAATCCTATAAAATGTGGTCTTTTGTGACTGGCTTTTTTCATTTAGTGCAATGTTTCCAAGGTTCATTCATACTGTAGCACAAATCAGTACTGATTTTTGTTTTATTGCTGAATAATATTTTACTGTGTGGAAATACCACATTTATCCATTTATCAGTAGATGGAATTTAGGTTGTTTCCAACATTCTCGCTGTTATGAATAACGCTGCTCTGAGTGTTTGTGTCTGGATTTGTATGGATATATGTTTTCATTTTTCTTGGGTATGTACATTTTGAGGAACTGCCAGACTGTTTTCCATGGCAGTGATTTAACCCTCCTGTCAGTAGCATAAGGAAATTCCAACTTCTCCACATCCTCATCAAAACTTATTATCTTTTTTTATTGAAGTCATCCCTAGTTGGTCTGAAGCGATATCTCATTGTGGTTTTGATTTGCATTTCCTCAATGACTAAAGATGTGGAGCATCTTTTCACAAATACATATTTAATACTATTAATATGGTCTTATTTACATCTGTCATTTTACTATTTGTTTTCCACATATAATGTGTTTTTTTGTTTCTCTGTTCCTCCTTTACTGCCTTCTTTTGTGTTAAACATATTTTTAGTGTATCATTTTAATTCCTTTGTCTCTTTTTTTATTTTTTGTGTTATTCTCATGGATATTGCCCTAGGGATTATAATATGCATCTTTGACTTATCACAATATTCAAGTTAATAATGACTTAATTCTAGCAAAATATGGCAACTTTGCTTCTAAATAGTTTCATTTTCTCCCCCTTCTTTCTACTATGGTTATTTATATCTTTATATTTAATAAATCCAAAAATACAGTGTTAGAGTTAGTGCTTTAAACATTGTTTTTAAAATAAAAAGAGAAAAAAAAAACACAATCTTTTTATATTTACCCAGACACCATTTCTTCTTGTGAAACTGACTTACTCTGTTGTTTTATCTCCTTTTAGTCTGTTGGCAAGAAATTCTTATAGGTCTGTTGGCAAGAAATTCTATTGATTTTTGTTTATCTGAGAATGCTTTTACTTCATCTTCATTTTTGAAGGGTAAATAAATTATTCTAAATTATTCACTTTCAATATGTCATTGCATTGTTTCTGGCCTTCATTCTATCTGGAAAAGTGGCAATTAATCCTATTGTAGTAATGAACTGTTTCTCTCTTGATGCTCTGGAGGTTTTGTTTTTGTCTTCGAGCAGTTTGACTACAATGCATCCACTGTGGCTATCTTTGTATTGATGCTAATTGGGGTTCCATTATTTTTCTAAATATATTTTCTGATCCTTTCTGTTTCTCATCTTTGTCTAAACTCCCATTACACGTAAGCTTTACATTTTATCAAGGGTCTCTAAGGCTTTATTTCTGGTCAAACAATCCTCTCCAATCTTTTTTTTTTTTTAAAGATTTTATTAGAGAGAGAGACAGCGAGAGAGGGAACACAAGAAGGGGGAGTGGGAGACGGAGAAGCAGGTTTCCCGCAGAGCAGGGAGCCAGATGCGGGGCTCGATCCCAGGACCCTGGGATCATGACCTGAGCCGAAGGCAGCCGCTTAACCGCCTGAGCCACCCAGGCGTCCAATCCTCTCCAATCTTTAGAATGGATAATTTCTATTAATCTACCTTCAAGTTCACAGATTCTTCTTCTGCCATCTCAAATCTTGCTGGTAAGACCATCTAGTAGATTTTTCATTTCAGTTATTGCCATTTTCAGCTCTAGAGTTTGCATTTTTTCATAGTTCCATTTCTCTAATTAGACTATTTTTGAGTCATTCTCATCATATTTTCCTTTAATTCTTTGAAAATACTTATAATAGCTGCTCTAAAGCCTGTCTTTCAACTCCAACACTTTGGCTCATTCTAAGTCACTTTCTATTTTCTGCTTTCCCTCCCAATAGGTATCATTCTTTCTTGTCTCTTTGTATCTTTCCTTTCCTTTTCTTGCCTTCCCTTTCCTTCCTCCCTCCCTTCCTTTTTCTTTGCTAAAAAGTTGACATTTTATATATTATGGTAATGTTGAATTCTCATTAATTTTTGACGTTTTTCTTTTTTTTAAATAAGGGGTTAGGCTTATACTGTGCAATCTCTCTCTTCCCATGTGTGAGGAGCCAATGTCTCTGGCTCAGTTTCTTTGTCTTTAGGTCTTACCTTTAGTATTTAACATTCATCCCCATGTCTGCATAGGTTAGTGGTCAGCTGATGATGTGGGCAGAAATTGTGCTCAGATAACTTGAGCCTTTAAGGCTTCCATCCTCCTCAACCAATCCATGTGTGTAGGTTGGGGAAAATACTCTCAGTTTAGCCAGTTCTCAAGTTTCCCTTGTTTTTTTTTTATTTTCTGATGGAATTTGTATGGTCTATCCTGCATATGCCCATGTTTCAGTCAGCCAGAGATGTGAGAGGAATTTATCTAGTCTTTCTGTAAGTCTCTGGTTTCCAGAGACTCATGTTACATTTCTTATTGGTTCACAGCTCACTGTTACCTTAGGCTAGCAAAATTGCAGGTTTCCCCTGTTCACTTTTAATGAATTCACCGCTTTTAGTCGCCAAACCAGAGGTCTCTTTTCTAAGTCTTCTTTATTTTATTTTTGAAAGATTTTATTCATTTATTTGAGAGAGTGAAAGAGCACAAGCAAGGGGAGCGGTAGTGAGAGAGGGAGAAGCAGACTCCCTGCTGAGCACAGAACCTGATGTGGGGCTGGATCCCAGGACCCCAGGATCATGACCTGAGCCGAAGGCAGACGCTTGACCAACTGAGCCACCCAGGCGCCCCTCTAAGTCTTCTTTAAGTCAAATCTGTCCCTTATAGTACAAAAGCTGCTGATTTTCCAACTTAGCTCCACACTATTCTTGCCAATAGCTTGAGAGTAAAGGTGATGGGACAGTCTTGGGCAAGAGGTCACAGACCTCCACTGTTCTTAACCAAAGTTCTAGCAAGAAGTATTTTTTTTTTTTAAAGATTTTATTTATTTATTTGAGAGAGAGAGAGCATGGGGGGGGGAGGGTCAGAGGGAGAAGCAGACTCCCCGCCGAGCAGGGAGCCCGATGCGGGACTCGATCCTGGGACTCCAGGATCATGACCTGAGCCGAAGGCAGTCGCTTAACCAACTGAGCCACCCAGGCACCTGCAAGAAGTATTTCTAAGCATGAATGCTACTCAATTTGTTGTCTGTCCTTGGTCAATTTCCAGAAACCTGAAACTGTTGCTTTTGACAAATTTGTCCTCTTTTATACTTGATTTTTGTGAGGAAGCTTCATTAATTTTTTCATGCCACCATAGCCCAAATCCCTCCTGTTCTAAATCTTTCTGAACACATTTAAGCACAGTTACTTTACAGTCTGTCTCTGATAACTCTGGATCCCTCACTGAGCATTTGCATATATATATGTCTGTGTGCCTATTTTTATTGTTTGTTTTTCTTTTTGTTGTCAGTGACATGTTATTTCCTAATGAGTCTGATTACTTTTGATTGAATGTAGCCACTACACACGTAAATCAGGAAATAATCTGAATCCTTGGGATGATGTCATCTTCTGCCAGAGGGGCATTTGGTGCTATGGGGGGCATTAGAACTCACAAATCCTCTAATCTCATGGTAGGGATTGGGATTATTTGAAGTTGGGGCTTATTTCCTGTTATGACTAGTTTATTTAAGTTTCACTCTTCCTCCTAATATGTCCCTTTCTCTTCATGGTTCTGTACCAAGATGTCAGGAAGTTACCAGACTTGGTGGGCCCCAGATTCCAATTTTGGTTAGTTTCTCAATCTCCCAACTTCCTTTTCTGAAATTAGTGGATTCCATTCTTAGGAAAAGTAGCCTCCAAACCCAGGCACAGACTCCAGCTGTTGTCTTTCTCCTAGACATTGGCCTCATAGTTATTCACTGCCTTGCTGTGTTCCAATACCTTCCAGTGATTAAAAAAATTTTTTTAATCCAACTTTTCCTGGTTGTTCCCTGTGGAAAGTTGATCTGAACTACTTCACTATGATTGAAATCCACCAACTTAGTCTTTAGGCATTAACTCATATTTTCATTGCTTTCTTTTGTTTCATTAAACTTATATGACATTCCTATTTAATATTTTGCGGGAAGGATACCGACACTTCAATTCTCTTCAGTCCTAACTGTGCCATCTGTTCTTTCAGCAGCTTACTCTGCATATTGCCTTGTTTCCCTGTGTGTTTTGTAATATTTTGGAAATACTGTGAACTCACATATCTGGGAACTTTGTTAGTGGGATTCTTTTATGGCCCGAGTTGAAATGAGTTCCTCTGAGGGAATTTCTGTTGGCTTTTTGTACCATGCCTGTACAAAGCTTCTTAGACTACCAAGGTGGTGTAAGTTCATAAACTGACCTGCTAGAAGGGCTAGCTTATCATTTTAAATCCTGTAGAGTTTTGCTTTTTGTTTGTTTGTTTACCTCTACCAAGAGCCGATGTTAGAGGGAGGCTGCTACTATCCTCAGGAGGGTGGTATTGGGTTCATTTCTTCTTTTTTTTTTTTAAAGATTTTATTTATTTATTTGGGACAGAGAGCACATGAGAGGGGGGAGGGTCAGAGGGAGAAGCAGACTCCCTGCTGAGCAGGGAGCCCGATGCGGGACTGGATCCTGGGACTCCAGGCTCATGACCTGAGCCGAAGGCAGTCGCTTAACCAACTGAGCCCCCCAGGCGCCCCTGGGTTCATTTCTAATTCAACTTTGGCCTGAGCGAACACCAGTCTTATACAGTCTGCCTTGAGATTTATCTCCTGTTCCCGTGGCCTCAAGAATGTGATAAGCAGGACTCTGCTTCACCTGATGGCAAACACCCTCATGGCAAGACCAGGCTTAGGACTCTACTGAGTGCTCTGGCTTCCACTGTTACTTAGTTTTGGACATCTTAGTATTACCCTTCTCGCCAGGAGTTTTTAAACCTTTATTCAACCTTTTTGGTAGATTTCAGAGAGAGAGAGGATCTATCTGTGTTTGTTGCCCACCATCATGCTGGAGATGAAGTGAACAGTTGGTTTCCTTACCGTCTGTCTCCCGGCAGAGGGTAACGTAGTGATGAAGAGTCTAGGCTAGGTACGTCAAAGTATAGTATATTAGGTTTGCCTAATTATAGGGTACTTCCCAGAGTACAGCTAGATTGCCTAGGTTCCAACCCCAGTTCCACTAATCATTAACCACGTATCAGCTAAATTGCTTAACCCTCCGGTCACAGATTCCAGAAAGGATGACTGGAAAGACGAAATATGCAAAGGCCACAGGGCAGCACCAGCCAGGGCCCTCAGGAAGGGCTGCCTGAGATGCTGGGGATGCTGGCCCCCATGACACACTGACCTGGTCTTGGACATCCTCATCACACAACTCCAGCTGCATGATACGCTCAAAAGGTCGGAAAAGTGCTTCATTGAAGTGAAAATGAGGCGGCTCATTCCAGTCAGTGAGAACCTCTGTCAATATATCATGGATGAAGGAAACGGCCTTCTGAGACACATGCCTTTCCTTATGGCAGGCAGCCTGCAAAATTCAGGGGAGAGTAGAACACCATCAGGACTTTACACAAGTAGGAAAATGGTCTCTTAAGTTCCTAACCCATTTCGTGTGGGGAGGTAGAAGCAGCAATTCTGTTGAAGTAAAAAAAAAAAAATTTAAATTAAAAAAACCCTCCAAGGGTAAGTATAGATGAACAGTACACTAAAGTTGCATTTTTAATAATTTAACCAAAGATCACATACAACTCTAGTTTCACTTTAATATTTCTTGAAAAATAAGAGTTTCTAGTAAATTTTTTTTTTCTTTCTTGTAACATGACGGTTTTCTTGGGTGGTAAAGAACACATGGACTATAAAGACACCAGAACCTAGTCTGGGACCTGCCTATGGTCTCATTTTAGCCATGTTCTGAATATGATCAGATGTGTCACCTGTCCCTCAAGGAAGTGGGCCAGTTGCCCCAGTGATGATCTAATTGGCTCACATCTTTGTATGCACGCCCTTGAGGAGCCCTCTCTCACACGGACGCCGGGCTTGGATGTGTGATCTGCTTTGGACAATGGAATAATACCAAACATTGTATCAGTAGAGAACTGGAAAGTAGCTCTGATTTGGGGTTTGCCCTCTTGCTTTCCTTGGAAATCCTAAGAATGCCACGTGAATGAGCCAGGGCTAGTCTGCTGAAGGGGGAGAGACCATGGGGAGAGGCCCCTATGTCCAGCCCTCCTAATCAAGGCTGTCACGAACCAGCTGACAAGTGAGGTGCACAAGTGAAGCAAGCTGAGCTCAGCCAAGCCTGGCTCAACCCAGCTCAGATCTCTGACTCACAGAGTCAGGAGCTAAATAAATGGTTGTTGTTTGATGTTGCCAGATTTTGGGGGTGGTTGATTATAGCGTAACAGATAACTGATACACACTGTTTTTCCATGACCAAGTTGGTTATTTTCTACCCCTTTTCTTTACTAGAATGTTCTCAGTTTAGTGAACTAGTTCCACAAGTCTTTATTTGATGAAGTAGCTCTACCAGATTAACGCTAAAGAAGTAGTAAGAATCATTATCACTGAAAAACAAGGCAACAATTTTCCCATCAATCGAGAAGTAGCCAGTCGTCATGCACTGAAGTGCTTAGTTCATAGGATATAATTTATCACATATACCACTTTGTATGAGAGTGAAAGGGGTCCTGCATTAATTTTGTTGGAAAAACTAGGGCGTATGGTTCGCCTAATTATAGGATACTTCCCAGAGTACATTTAGCTATCAGAAAAGAAGGACTGGCAGGAACAAAAGGCATTGTTATAATCATGTATAAAAGTGAAGCTCCAGCCTCCGGCTGAAAGTAAGGCATAAACAGAAAGCAGGCTGCAGGAGGTACCTAGCCAAGTCATGCAATTGTAAAGAAAGAGGGTCAGGGTGACACCAGGGTGGGACTGCCCTTTTGGGGTGATTCTCTAGATGCCACGATGTACCATCAGTGACCTATGATGTTTGTGCCCAGGTGATGGAAACCTTAGCCTTGCTCTTCGCCCACACACCGCCCAGAAAGCCCCGTGCTGGCTCTGCTGCAGGAGCTCCCTGAGCTTCGCTTCCTGCTTTCAGGGGCTCACCTCCACCAGGTGTGGGGCCACAAGGCTCCAGCAGCGCATCACATGGAGCAGTGGCCGTGACTTGCTCCGCACGATCCTCAGCATGGCATCCCCGAGGCGGAATAGGTGGAGGGCGCTTTTTCGGTCTTGGGTGGATTTCACCTCTCCTGTAAGAAGGCAAGACCACAAAAGCCATAAAGCCCAAACACAGGAACAGTTTGACCTGTTCAAGCAGAGAGAGAGAGGATGAAAATCAAAGGGGATGAAAAATACTCAGGGTGGTAGGATTAGTCAATGCGGGCCAACTGAGGGAGGAGAGGACCCTGGATTCAAGAGAGACTAGGCGGTTCACTCAACACCTCTCCTATCGGCCACCATATCCCCAGGGCCTGCCGTGACAAGTGTGAGCACTGCTCGTGGATAAGGGGGGACGGCATGGTAGTTAAGTAGGAGGGGTGGGGAGTCAGACTGCCTGGGTTCAACTCCTGGCTGCACCGTTCAGTAGCTGGTTATGCTGGACCAGAGATCTCTCTCTTGTGGTCAAAGTAGGGATAACGGCCCTTACCTCTTAAAGTTACTTTAAGGATGAAATATGGAGATACAAAGTGGCCTATCACAGGGCTTGGCACATACTAAACGCCCCCCACTGTTAGCCATTAATGTTACTGTTGTCACTCGCCATCCACTTTGCCAATCCTTAATGGCACTTCTGAAGAGCTTGCCAAGCAGGTCAGGCCCCTTTCTGCTCAATAACATGCTTTTTGAAACTGCTCTGTCTTGCTTCAGTGTAATCCTTGCCTCCTCGGATCTTTTGCTCCTTCTTTGCCCTGTCCCCTTGGTCTTCTCCCTTTTCATCACTTTCTCCTTGCTCATGTCCTGTTTCTCCTATATTGTCTACAAAATGCTGGACATTATCATGCTCTTCCAGTCAGAATGCTCCTTTCTAATTAGTCTTGCCATATCAAATAAACTTCAAAATGACAGTAATAATAATCACTGACATTTACTGGATGTTTATTCTGCATCAAATGCCGTGTTGGTGTGTCTGTAATCACTTTATTTTTTAAATTAAACCTTAAACAAATGTGATTATTGCCATTTCACAGATTAGAAAATTAAATGCCAGAAAGGTAAACTGACTCACCTAAGATAGTGTAGCTGGTAAATGGTGGAGGCAGCATTTTAACTGCTATCTGACTCATTCCAAAAGCAAATGCCTCCTCCGCCTCCTCCTAGTTCTGCTGCCTCTTCCTGACCCTGCTCCTCGCTTTTTTGTAAGCTGAGAGCTTGCTGATTTCTCCAACCCCAAACACTTTGAAGGTGGCCCCTAGGTCCAGGGATGCTCTGGAAGTCTGATGGGTCTGGGAGGTTGGCTTTATATAGCTAAGGTTTTAAAGTCTATTAAAAACCCGCGGGGAGAGGACGGTGCTTCTCAAATCAGAATCTGCAGTAAGGATCCAAAGGCCAAATATATACACTTAGAACTTCAGGTCCCTGAAGATGGGACCACAAGAGGCTGTACGATCCAACCTGCCAGCACCGTGCGTCCCTAGCACGTAGCTCCGTGGCTCTGCCCAGACCCATCGGGACAGAGGCTCACTGTTTTGGCACGACAACCTTGGCTGCGGATGGACCGCTGTGAGCAGCCTGCCACCCGTCTGGGACCCTTGGGCAGCTCCCTACGATGTGGCTCCCTTCGAGGCCCTCATCAGTGGAGATGGTGACATTGACCTATCATTAGGGATATGCCTCGATAGCAGTTTTCCTAAGAGTAGCAGGAGGCTTCTCCCCATTCCACTCTTCTCTCCCACCAGCCCCGGGTGGAATCAGGAGCTGCTTCTGCAAGCCGCTGAACTGAAAGAAGCAAGAGACGTGGCTCGTGACACGGAGATAGGGTCCCATCCTCACGGGAAGCTACCTGCACCCTGAGCAGCCACATGATTGTCTCTGTCTCAAGCCCGGAGCTTGGCAGAACCAGCTGGCACAGCTCCGCTGGGGACAGGGGCAGCAGTGGCCGCAGCGTTTCCGCTCACACAGTCCCCGGCACGCCTGAAAACTGGTGACAAATCTGCGCTAGACCTTAGCCAGGGTGACCGTGTGGGATGGGGATGTGGATTCAAGTCTTCAGGTAGGCCGCTGCTTTCAGAGATCTGGGCCACCTCCTGCTGATCTGGCGGCGCGGTCTCTTCAGGGAAAGAATTACCTGGCATTGCCAGGGAGTAATCCACTGTATCCGTGACAGAATGGAAGAGCTGGGACTGCGACGCTTTCTTCAGCTGGTAAAGGAACCCTCCTAAAGCCATCAGGTTCAACTTGTCCGTAGCATCTTCAAAGAGCCTGCATGAAACAAATAGATTGGTTACTTGGGAACAATTCCGTGAAGGCTTTGTGGTAGAATGATGATGGTAATTTCGTTAACTGTGAGGAATATAAATGTGTAAACACTGTAAAGAAATGCATGGGTTTATTCTTCTCTATTATTACTGTGTATAAGTTTGCTCTAACTAGGAGATTTTAATCTAAAGGGCACAGATTAAAAAAAAAAATCCTTGGTTTCCCCATGGCTTAGCTCAGCCATGCTCGGCACTCATGAAATGTTTGGCAAGAAGTTGAAACTGGCAAAGCATCACCCCCTGAAACTGAGTCACTGGGAATGAAATCCTTAGAATTAGCTTTAGTTTCATAAGCTCTATGATAGAAAAACCCACTAAGTGAATCAAGGCTTTTGCTGGGCTACGATTGATGAGTCTAATGCTGGGCTTGGTCTTGAGAAGGATACAAAACCAAAGTACACCCAAACCTGTAAGCCCCCCTGGGGGTGGGGCTAGCTTTATTACTGCCTCCGACTCATACACCAGGGTATGAGTGGGAGCTCAAGTATCTGCTAAAAGAACAAATACTCCCTAACATAATGGACCTCACAGGTTCCTTTTGTTTCCTAACTCCACTGGGCGCAGACATTTCTAGCAGAAGCAGCTGGGAAGGAAGAGGGGAGCACAGGCAGCAGGGCTTAGAGAAGGATCCGAGGCTCACTGGAATTCAGAAGGTTGGCATCCGACGTGGGTTTCTATGGCCAGTCTTCCGCCACTCTTGGGTCATCTGTTGCCTGCTCTCCAAACCTGTGCTCACACCAGAAGGGCAAGCAGCCCCATGGGCTGTCACATGCTGGGCAAGGAGAGGGTCTCTAACAGAAATTGAATACAGAGTCCCTTTTGACGAGGTTATATGAGACGTACAGGTTTTAAGATGGGAATTAGTGAATTAAGCATTCACAAATGATTGAAACAAAGACTTTTTTCTTGTTCCAATTGTTTTTTAAAGATTTTATTTATTTATTTGAGAGAGCGAGAATGAGAGAGAGAGAGAGAGTACATGAGAGGGGGGAGGGTTAGAGGGAGAAGCAGGCTCCTCGCCGAGCAGGGAGCCCGATGCGGGACTCGATCCAGGGACTCCAGGATCACGACCTGAGCTGAAGGCAGTTGCTTAACCAACTGAGCCACCCAGGCGCCCTTTCTTGTTCCAATTTTAATATCACTTAGTGTCTGGGTCCTTTTAACTATTTCTCTCTTGTTCCTAGTAAAAGAACAGTGATGAACATTATGCCCCACCTGATGCCTGTATACTACTTTCCAGATGCCAAACACTCTCCCAGCCACCTTGCTGGATACACCGGGAAAAGAGATTACTGTACTAAGTTAGTAGATGGAGAAACTGAGTCTCAGCATAACTATTTATACAGACATGACCTTGCAGTTGGTTAGTGTCAAAGCCAGGAAAGAACTCAGGTATTCTGAGCCCCTATGAGTGGCGTTCCACTTTCCCACGCCCTGGCTGTCGGCTCCCTGTATAAACTTCACTGAACCGGGGCTGAGGGCACAATGACCCAGCGTGGACAGCGCAGTGAGGTGAGACTACATGTGACTGGTGACCAACAGCAGTTTCAAATCAGAAAGTGTCACCACTTGGGGTTGGGGTTAAACTTAACAATGGTTAAAGAATATATCACACTCTTGGGTGTGGGAATACAGATAGTAACTATCATAAAAATAATGCATTTTTGGTGGCACCTGGGTAGCTCGGATGGTTAAGCGTCTGCCTTCGGTTCAGGTCATGATCCCAGGGTCCTGGGATCGAGTCCCTCATTGGGGGGGGGGGGTCCCTGCTCAGCGGGGAGCCTGCTTCTCCCTCTCCCTCTGCCTGCCACTCCCCCTGCTTGTGCTTTCTCTGTCAAATAAATAAAATCTTAAAAAAAAAATAATGGATTTTTATCACTTATCAAGCTCTGTCCTTATCAAGCTTCAAGTGTAGTAATTAATTTAACCTCACGGCCACCCTGTGAGAGGCTGACTTTATGGCCTTACCTGACGTGAGGCCATCAGGGCCCAGGGAGGCGAACCTGCCTCCCTGGGCTCACAGGGTAAGTGCAGAGCGCCAGCCCCAGGGAGCCTGCCTCCAGAGCCTCCGGTCTTAGCCAACAGACAGCAGTTCATTCTAAGTGTGGGGCATGACGGGAGACAGAGGTATGTTCGAAAAAAATAAAAGAGGCTTAAATGACTGGCCAACCCATCTAGTGGTCCTGGGAGTGATCTGAGACGAGAGACACTGGTGCTCTGCGGGAGCAGTACCTCCGAGGTGTGGGGATCATGGGGCGCGCCTACCTGTCGGCCTGGGTGGACAGCGTGAGCACGGCCTTGGCAGCGCTGCTCCCGGTCATGAGGCTGCCCCCGCGGAAGTCCGAGGCCCGGCCTCTGCTGCCTTCCCTGACCAGCTCTTGGATGGAGAGCGGCTGGATGACGGGGGCCGCGCTCAGGGAGCTCTCTGGCTCTAGGCTCTGCTCTGGCGCCGAGCCCTCACACTCTGGGTCCCCAAGGGGTCCGGAGCCCCCTGACGCCTTCTGGGGCTGGCTGATGGTCAGCGGGGGCTGAGAGGCGCCGTCGCTGAAATGGGTGTGCTCCAGTGTGCCCACGTATTCACAGACCCTAGACACAGGCACAGAGAAGCAGCTGTCAGGCCTCGTAGCTCAGCAGGCCGGCTCTGTAAATCCCACAGTAAGGGAAAGATACCCCAGCCTGCTTTGCAGAACCCCCTGCCCCCCCAATTTCCTTTCTTGTCAGGGCCACCTTTCCCTCTCCCCCTTCACTATCCATATTATTATTATTATTATTTTTTGATTTGGACTAGATGACCTGGAAGTGGGGTAAGGATTCCTCAGATTGTCGTCCCCTGTGCTGGGAGAAAGGTGGGTAACAAAAGCTCTGTTCACCCAGTTCCATCCTGTCCAGCTTATTGGCTTATTTAGATTTTGGCTGCCTGCGGAGTTTTCCCAAGGGGCCCTCTCCCCCTCTCTCTAACCATTTCTTCTCTCTCATTCCTAGTAAAAGAACAGCGATGAGCATCATGCCCTGATGAGGACTCAGGAAGCGCTTCTTTATGATCCCAGCCTGAGTGTGCACGTGGCTGGCAGGCCCTCTGGCCACAGTGGGCCCTGTCACAAGGGCTCTGCCCAGCCGTGTGCTGACTGGCCTTGACAGCTCCTACAACTAGTGCTGGGGGCGGGGGTGCCCTAACCACAGCAAACACAGACAAGTATCACAAGGTAGGGTATAACTGCCAACTTCCAAACTGTTCGTGCCCAACAGACCCTGGGCCTAAGATGGTTCATAAGAGGCCCAGTGTCCCCGAAGAAGTCCAGCTGGTCCAGTAAAGACCGTCCCAGATAACCTGCTCTCGTGTTCTATAAGCAGGCAATTTTTTGATTCCCTATAAAATGCTCTGGTGCAATTTAAGTCATTTGCTTTTTCCTGTTTTGCCTGTGAGAACAGTGAGGACCAGCAGCACACCAGCCTCCACGTTAAAACCCACTTTGCTCCAGGCTGATTCATACTGGCTCTCTCGCCTATTCCTCCCAAGATAGGTTTTTCACTCTTTGAATGATCTGCATGCCTCTTTCTTTGAAACCCAACAGACACTTAGAGCTGTATTTGCTTCGAGGGCATCAAACTGAACCCAGGTCTGGCTGGTGCTCTGGGTGAGATCCAGGTGCCTGAGCCCTGCCCCTGACGCCCCACTCTGCTCTTCCAGAACTGAGCTTGGTGCAAGGCATCGGGCGGGTGCTGAGGAGGTGGTGAGGAAACAGCCTGGCCCCTGCCCCATGCCTGCACCGTGGGTGCTGCTTCTCTGTCCCAGGTCTGCCCAAAGCCAATGCCCAGAAGACATGCTTTTTGTCTCAGTCGTGTGAGGACTGGGGAGCTATCCCTGCTTCTGTCCTACAGGTGCTCTGAACTCGGTAACTGATCGGGGTTGGGGGCTCTTGTCACGCACCTGAACACGTGCGGCCAGCAGTCTGGGTTGTGGCTTCCCATCTCCAGGCCTACGCTGAGGATGGCATCCATGCACAAGACGTGGGCGGTGTGCAGCCAGACCCCCTGCAGCTTCCCGATCTGCTCCAGTTTCTGCTCCACTTTCAGTTTTACTGTGCCAGAAAGACATTCATTAACGTAATGGTCCAAGAAGGAGCCAGAAAGGGAGACAGAAAGGATGAAAAGGAGAGAATGGGCTGCCGTGCAAGAGCAAAAAGGAAACAGCAGATGTCACTCGATGTCACTGGCAGCAAGCTCCTCAATAGCAGGTCCCTGGGGTTCAGCGTGTAAGCTACCCAGCCCTCGGGCCCCATGGACACTGGTGAGCCCAGCTCGGCAGCTTCACAAGTTGGGTGGATCCTCGGCTGGTGGGTGCAGTTCTTCCAGACCCACCTGTGGGTTCTAAGTCAGTGACAGCAGTGAGGATGGGCTTCGTGTGCCAACCCCAGCTAAAGCTGTTTGTGCCCGAGCCCTTCCCCCACCTGTGTGCTCACACTGATAAGACAGAATTCCTGGCAATCTGTGAGTTCTCTGAGGTTTATTTAATGTCATATGTTCATGATGATGATCATCTAAAACATATGTATGTATTCCCTGAGCACATGATGACTGCTTTATAACTGAAAATCATCAGATCGTTTCACTCCCCGAGTTTACGTTTAGATTTGTGATCTTCAAATAATACTTTTTAAATTATAGATGACTAATGAGAAAGGATGCAGAGGGTAGCTTAATATGTCAATTATGCAAAATGCCAAGGGAAGGCCAAATGACAACATCCTCCATGAATAAAGGTGTCAAGTCATCAGAAGATGGGTCTGGTGGGATAAGTGAATGATGGTCCAGAACCTAGAAACACAGCATGCTCACTTCAGAGGAAGCCAAACCATATTCCTGTTGTAAGAGGCAAACTGAGTTTTAGCAAAGCATCATTTGTCTCATGGATGTGATACTGATTTTATTTTTTACTTGAACACCAATTTTGGTTTTATAATTTCTTAAGAACTTTAAATCTAGGGATTTTTATGTAATTTATGGTTGTGCACATTAAGTATATATACTAGATAATCATCCCCTTCGTTGGCTAACTGATTTTCACAAGTTAAAAACCACCTCTTTCCAGAGTTCACAAAGCTCAGGTTTTTCTCTTACAAGAACAAAGTTTTTCTGAAGCTTCTCTCAGGGATTTCCTCCATTTGATTTCCCTCTTCAGAAAACTGGCTATTCTGGCCTTTTCCCACTATCACCTGAGGGGTCTTCAGATGTGTACTCTGTGAGGTGCCAAAGCAAGTGGCCGGATGAAGACAGAGTATGAATAGCTCAGCCAGGTGGGCCTCTGGGGTCCCGCAGGACTCCTGTTAGCAGCCGAGAGCACTTTCCTTTAGTCACCGGGGGCCAGGATGTCTCTCGTCTCCAGAGGGATGTACGGGGGGTGCTCTGCAGGGCCAGCCGTGTAAAAGAGAGCCACGCCTGGGATCCAGACTGTGATCCAGCCTGGGACTGTGCGATCAGCGGTAAACCTATGTTGTGCCTCACACAGGGACCGGGGATGGGTGTCTGCTCACGTGTGCGGGTGTGTGCAGACGGCACATAGGGCGCCAGGTGGATTCTGGCCCTTCAGCTGTTACCTTGTGCTATGGCATCACTGGGCTCTTGGACTTCCTTCTCCTCTTTTTCTTCCTGGACACAGGAGGCCGCCGCCATCTGGGCAAGGGCTGAGGCGCAGTTAGCCGCAACTCCTTTAGAGACAACAAACAATCACCCCTCACTGACTCTATTCTCTAACCATTTACCAAGCAGGGCCCTTCCAGAAGACTTGTTTCCCACTAGGGACTCCCCTCAGGCCACGGGTCAAGGGATGTCACTCCCCCGGTACCTAGAGCACAGCTCAGCCTCGCCGCTTTCCGCAGCCCATCGAGGCTCATGCAGATGGCGTCACGTTCCTTTTGGTTCTGCTCTTTGATGCCTTCAGCTCCCAGAATGAAGGCCAACCCTTTGGAGCTTCCTGCCATTCGGCCAGTCAGCGGGGTTGATAAAGTATCGATCAGGTTCTTCCAGCAGCCTACCAGAATATAGCGAGCAAATGCCACACCTAGAACATGAAGGGGCATACATCACTTTCTGGAGGCAGAAACAACCCGGCAGAGAATGGCATGCGATCTTCTGACCATCCAAGTAGCAACACTGAGTTGTAAGCAATTCTACTACCAGAAATGTAATTTAATGGATGTTGGATTGCATTTTACTTTGTGTGTATAAATAATGAATGTTGCATCATCAGCTGGATGTTGCGAAGTGACTTCCATCAGGCACTCTTTTTCTGACAGGACAAGATGGTAATTCATTTACGTCAGCACAGAAAGCTGTCACTTAATGACTTAATTGCTGGTAACATATGTGATGTATGTATATTCATAAACTCAAGACCCAAGTCTTTACCTGCCACTGTGGAGTCATCAATTCTCCTGCCCTGGGTGAAAGGAGACTCGGTAGAAGCTGAGGCCATCAGCTGGCCCCCAATCGCACTGCTCTCTAAGCCATCAATGTCTGTCAAGGAAAAAGACAGGGTTTTCCCTGATTAGAACACTCCAGTCAAAAACAAATGGCCACCATGATACTCATATTTTCCCGAACAAACAGCCACTGGACCTATTACGTAGCAAGAACATAACAATCTTTTATCAGAATGCTAAATTTTTGTTTTATTCTTTTTTTTAAAGGATTTTTTATTTGACAGAGAGAGAGAGAGAGAGAGTACAAGCAGGGGGAGCGGCAGGCAGAGGGAGAGGGAGAAGCAGGCTCCCCACCCAGCAGGGAGCCCGATGCGGGGCTCGATCCCAGGACCCTGGGATCATGACCTGAGCCGAAGGCAGATGCTTAACTGTCTGAGCCACCCAGGCGCCCCTTGTTTTATTCGTATAGTCCAGTTTTCTTTCATTGCTAGAACATTCTTCTGTTAGATTTCAAATGGATGTGAAAGTTGTCATGATTAATCAAATAAAAATTGGTCACCTGTCCAGTGATCCTGATCCCTACAGTTAGGGACCTTGGCCTTGTTTCTCCCAGTTGCATCCTAGTTCTAGAACCAAGACTACAAATGCCAGCCAATAACCAATGCTGTGAACAGACTTCACTATGTGTCTTGACTCCCTGCCTGATTCCTAAAGAGCACCTCAGCCCAAGTCCCTCATTGTTGGGTTCTACCTGCCAATAGTCTACTCTGCCACCTTTGTAAGAGCTCCCCAGTACTGGCCGTAGGTAACATAACACAGCCTTTGGACAACAGATTCTGCCTCTTCCCTGGACTGTCCTGGCCTGCTCTGGCCTGGTTGTGCTCCTGTCCACGTGCCCTGCTTGGTGCAGAGCCGTGCTGAGCTGGATGTGGACACATGGAAGGACAGCGAGGGCAGGGGAGGTATCTGGCCTAGGGCTATTCCATACATATCCTGTCAGCTGGGGCCATGAGACCATAACTTGGATTAGAAACCAGTCTGGGAACTCAGATCAAACACAAGATGAGCCTGGATCTAATACATGAAGCCTACTGATGGCCAAGGTCTTGAGCACTCCCTGGTCTACCTGACACTGTAGGTAAGCCATGAGAAGCCATGAATGACTGCTTTCTCTCTCTCTCTCTCTCTCTCTCTCATACACACACCAAAAACAAGAACAAGAACAAGAACAAAAAAACCCTGCTTCATGACCGTACCCCATAGAGCTCTCTATGCTCTCATGTAAAATTTCTAATAAACAGGATTTTAAAAACTCTGGACACTGAAGACAAAGATGCTGGGCAACCTCTTGGCATTATTTCAAATTCTTGTATAGCCGGGAAGGGAAGAGAGGACCTCTGATGAGGATAGGAGATGGGAAGGAAGCCAAGTTTAAAATCAAGCATTTTACATTTCTGGCAAATTCAGGAGCACTAAATGATATAGGGTTATCTATTAGCATGTGAGAGTTTCCAGGAATAATTCTGGGCTCTATGCCCAGAAAGTACTTCATATTCCTAGGAGAGGCCTGTAGTTTTACCCTGACAGACACAGGTGCTAAGTAGTCCTTATCTAATGGGGCACAGTGAGCCCTCCAGGGTCCCACGTGAAAAACAGACAGAACATTCCTATGAGGTGGATTCATGACACTTTCCTGGAACCGTTACCAATTGCCAGGGAGGCTCTGCGGGTGTTGTCTCAAGGCTGGCTTCTCTGAAAGGGGCTCTGGAGTGTCCCCCCCACCACGCCACCCCGAGTGCCACGGAGCTGTGTGACGAGCCACTGACCGGTCAGCATGGTGATGAGGGGCAGGCTGTTATCCTCCGGGCTGCCCCAGTAGCCAGCTTCTCCGAGCATGTTTCTGTCGAGCACCTGATGGTAGAGCTCCTCAATCCAGGCCTGGGAGAACACCATCAGCACCCCACTGGTCTGGACCTGCTTCATGAACTCTTTCTACGGAGAGGATCACATGAGAAGGTGACCAGATAGGATCCCCTGCAAATGAACACGTTCCTCTGCTGCCCCTTCCCTTCATGGATCCCTTACCTGAGTCAAGGCTTCCAGGAAAAATAAAACCTTATTGATCAGGGGCGTGGCGGTGGTGGGGGGGTGGATAAGGGAAGGGGGAACCAAACGGAGAAGTCCTAAACTTTATGAAGTTCCTTTTACTTTTGCTATCTTTTTAAGAATCTCTGTAGAAGGATTAGGAATACTTCCCTCTCTGATGTGTGTGGGCGGGATAGAAACGGTGCAGAAATATGAACAGAAGAGCTCCCTCTCGCTGCCCCAAGAGCAGCAGAGATAGAATGTGTTCCCTGAAAAAGCCTACGTGGCTCGAGAGCTACTTGATTCCCAATTGCCCTTGGGAATTTATAATTTATCAGGCAAACAAACGATTGCTGATGCCCTCGTGCAGCTCCACGGACGGAGGCTCACGAGCTGATACTAGGGGAGAGCGTGGAGCGACCACAGCATAATCACCATCATTCTCATTCTGCAGCTTATACGAGGTGCTCTGTTACTGACAACTAACTAGTAAGCTTGGCTGTGGGTTACGAGTAGATCGGAGTACACTCTGGAAGACAATGAAGAGTGTAAAGCAGGCCTTGATTTTCAGTAAAGGGGACAACTCCCTGCCCATCTTCTGATGTTTGAACATTCTGATCACCCGTTTTGTACTGTGGCTCACACACGTGTGTTTAACGATGCCATGGGTGATGATACTAGGCCACTGGCAGGCACTGGGTCCTGGCCTCTCTGCAGCAAGGTGGGCAGCTGTGTGGCCCACCGCACTATGTAAACTGCCTCGCATCCCCGTCCACCCTCCACGGCCCCGCCGACGTCACCCACTCCACACGAGTGGGGAGCAGAGCATGCTGAGCTGTCCATCCCAGGACACTGGTGTGCAGCTCTCCAGCCACCTGTCCTTGGAGGGGCCAACGGGACCACGGGCTCACCATCACGCCTGGGGCCAGGGCGGGCCGCTTGCGGTAGTAGTCGCCGTGGGAGAGCTTCAGGTTGAGCAGCAGGGCGCAGTGCGCCGCCGTGTATAAGCTGTCCGCGTTCATCAGCATCTGCAAGCTGAGGCTGCCACTCCCATCGAATCCGGGGGAGTGCATCATGCCTACGGGAGAGAGTCAAGACTCCTCTGTGGTTGCACACAAGGCGCCCAGCAAGACTGGCTTACGGAGAGCCCTGACCCGATCCTCGTGACGGGAACATGCATCTTGTAAGACACCCCTGTAAAGCACCTACAGCCAGCAAGGAGTATTATGAGGGTCCCACACATGCCCTAGCCTGGTGGGGAGGAGTGGGCACTCTGGAGTGAATCTCCCTGGGCAAATCTGGATGAGCTACTCATCAGCTACTTTGGTAAAATCACTCAGACGCCCTAAGTCTCAGCTTCTTCACCTCTACATAGGCAGAATAACCAACTGTGTCCATCTCCTGCTCAAAGTCTCCAACGACTTCCCATCACAATATAATAAAACCTGGACTTCCCCTCCCCTCTCTTTCTCACTCCCCACAGCCACCTGGATCTGTGTGCTCCTTAGACCACCAAGACTGAGCTTGCCTTTGCATTTTTCCTTACCAGTCCCCAGAATGATCTCTCAAGATCTCTGGAGGACGTGCTCCCTTCTTTAAGGTTTCTGCTCAAGCGTCAGCTTTACAGAGGCCTTCCCTTTCAACTCCATCTCAGACAGCATCCCACCACCACCACCCCTGCAATATTCCTCCTGCTCACCCTGCATTGTCTTCATTGCCTCAGTATCATTTATTCTACCCAGCATTGTATTAACATCTATTTATTATCTGCTGTCACTACTATTATCTACTATTATGTAAGATCTATGAGAGGGCGAGACTTTGTTAGTTTTGTTCCCTACAGAATCCCCGGTGCCTAGAACAGTGCTTGGCATACAGGAGACCCTTAAAAAACAGTTGCTAAGAATGAATGAACACGTTTGTTGTGAGAACTAGATATGATAACGCATGTAAGATGCTTAGTGCAGTAACCCATAAGTACATACTTTCAAAAAAGTAATAATGTTCCTCAAAAAGCAAAGCAGAATTCCCATATGACCCAGTAATTACGCTCTTAGGTATACAGTATGCCCCAAAGAATTAAAGGCAGGGATTTAAGCAGATCCTTGTATGCCAATTTCACTGCAGCGTTATTCACAATTGCCAAACATGGAGACACCTGAAGTGTCCATCAGAGACGAGTGTATCGACGGAGTACGGTACACACGTACCACGGAGTTCTGATCCGTGTTACACCATGGATGAGCCCTGCGAACATGCGGAGTGAAATAAGCCAGGCATAGAATGACAAATGTTGTATGATCCACGTAGATGAGGTACAGGCAAGAACAGGCAAATGTACAGAGACAGGAAGTAGATGAGAAGTTACCAGGGGCTGGCGGAGAAGGCTTTCTCTTTGGGATGATGAATAAAATTTCTGAAAGTAGTGGTGACGGTTGTACAACACTGTGGATGTAGGGAGTGCCACGGAATTGTACACATAAAAATGGTAAAAGTGGCAATTTTCAAGTTATATATTTTTTATCCCAGTTAAAACAACTAATAATGTAATATATCAAAACCACTGAATTGCACACTCTAAATGGGTGAATTGTATGGTATGTGAATTTTATCTCAATAAATTTTATTTCAATAAATCTCTTAAATGAGGAAACAGAGTTTCAAAAATATATATAAAGGAATAGTTACTGGTTCTTCCCTCATTATTTTTTCTAAACATCATTTTAAGCTTAATAAGGTTTTCAGTTTGAAGGGCTCCATGTGCTTTATATACATTAACTGAAGGAAAACAAACAAACAACTATATCTCATTGATGGGCTTTAAAGATGGGCTCGTTCAGCCAGAGAGGATTAGTGCCTTGTTCAAACTTTTCACAGACAATGTGGGGAGGCAAACATTTCTCAGGTTGGCGTCTCTTCATCTGGTCTGACGTCAGCCTCAGTGCTCCGCTTGGTCCTACACATACTCTGATGCTAGATCTAGAAGTGTGGCTGAAACATACCATCCGAAAGAGACGCACGCAAATGACACATGTCCATATAATCTTCATATGCTTAAAATTATCCTTTGATCAAAAATGTACCTCTTCTATGAAATGCAAGAGTTTCCAAAACTAACAAATACATTGGAAATACAAATTTGTAACTGGACTGATTACTTATATTCCTGTGGATTTCTTAATGAATATGCTAGCAAGAGGATATGGGCCAGAAGAAGCTTTTGAAGCTGAAAAATCTTCAAGACTTTTGCTATATTTGAGAACGGTATAAACATTCTTTAGTGGGAGTTAAGTATATATGTTATTCCAAGAAAACCACTTTACTCAGTCAAATGTTAGGCATTTCCCCTGCCTTCCTTTAAGAACTTTGCAGCTGTTATGAGAGATTTTTTACTGAAGGCACTTTGTGATCATAGGCAGAGGTGCATTTATAAAAGGAAGGTCAAGAGTGGTATTTAAAAATGACATCCTTGGGGCGCCTGGGTGGCTCAGTTGGTTAGGCAGCTGGCTCTTGGTTTCTGCTCAGATCATAATCTTGGGGTCCTGGGATTGGGCCTGTGTCGGGCTCCATGCTCAACGGGGAGTCTGTTTGAGAATTCTCTCTCTCCCTCTCCCTTTGCCTCTACCCCCTACACACAAGCTCTTTCTCTAAAGTAAATAAATAAATCTTTAAAAAAAATGACATCCTTGGTCAGGACATGGGCAGTGTGTTTCTGCCATGATGGTCCAGAGGAACACTCCGCACTCTTAAGGTCCTGGTGGGGTTGGTTCCAGTCTCTGGAGGAGATAAAGGACACATGATGGGTCTCCTTCCACGGTAAATAGAAAGCAGGATTCAGCACGTTGGGTATTTAACTACCCAGGATCAGAGATGAAAAGAATATGTGAGTCTATGAACCAAGAAAACAGTACTTGCAAATGGCTTTGATCTCAGGCATCAGCAATAATTTCTTCTAAATTTTAAAACCAACTACTATTTACCTTGGAATATGTTTTGGAAAACTGAGTACATACTCAGATGCTGCAAAGGAAGAAGCCCTGATGTGTCTGCTCACACAGAGACTAGCAGAGGTGTGACAATGTCCCAGAAGGACCAGTGGATATGTGGAGTTCTGAAATGATTTGTCAGACTTTTTAGGAACAATCTGGTACTGCACCCTACCCCCCCACCCCGCCGCCCACCCCAAGGCAGGCTAATTTCTTACATTACAAGGAGCTGGCAAATTTGAGAATTAAACAAAAGGATGAACAATGAATCATGGAACACTACATCAAAAACTAATGATGTAATGTATGGTGATTAACATAACATAATAATAATAATAAAAGAAAATAAGAAAATCATAAGGAAGAGAAAATTAAAACAAAACAAAACACAAAAGAATGTATAATCTATCAACTTAAGGAAGACACTCATTTTCTTGCCATACCAGATAGAGTTCACTGGTGATGTTAATAATGGAAAAATACAATAGCTATAATTAAGTGCTTTCTAATTTTTAGAACCAATCTCTTCTCATACTTTATTTCATTTGACATATAAAGTCTATATCGATTGCCTTCCTTTATTTTACCAGTAAGGAAAGTGCCTCAGAAATATTAAAGTAATTTGCCTAAAGTTATATAGCTAGAAATTGGCAAAGGTTTTTTGGGCCCAAACCCCAGGCTTTTTGAACAATGCCATGCTGTACTTGTTTCTAATGTCGTGAAAAGATTGTACTCTATCATGTCCCTCTCAAACAGATACTCTATTTTAAATTCATCCTCTGATTGGGTTCATTGAAGTGTTATAAATTTGGAGTGACAAACTACAGGAGCTCTGACCTTTAACACATTCTATTTTTTCCAGTGTTCTGTGACTAAAGTTCATTCTCTCCCTCTATAATTAAGATGTTCTTTACTGTCAGGAACAGATGGATGGGTCATTTGCTTGACTGGCTACCACTGAAAGACTGGATACAAGATTAGCATAAGTGACCTTGAAACATCTCCTCCATGTCTTAATTTAATGTGTCTTTTAAAGTAAACATTAAATACTTATTTCATTTAACAGTACTAAAAAATATAAAAAATAAGGGTAATTAGTCCCTGCTTCTCCCAAGCCCCAATGATAACCATCCCAGCAGACTTACTTCCTTGTACATATTGTGTGGAAATATAATCACAAATGAGATCATACTACATACATTGTACTATGACTTGGTGTTTTCTTAGCAATATATGTTAGATATCTTTTATTTTTTTAGAGAGAGTGTGTGTGCAAGTGGTGGGGGGGGAGAGGGAGAGAGAGAGAGAATCTTAAGCAGGCTCCATGCTCTGCGTGGCACCTGATACAGGTCTTGATCTCATGATCCTGAGATCATGACCTGAGCTGAAATCAAAAGTCAGATGCTTAACCAACTGACCCACCCAGGTGCCCTTAGATATCTATTGATATTGGCACTTACAGATCTATATATCATTCTTTTCAAATAACTATGCATATACCACTGCATGGTTGGAGTGTGATTTATTTAACTAATGCTCTCTTGGTAGACATTTATGTAGTCTCAATTATGATAAAAAGGTGAAATGATGAAATGACTTTTAGCACTTATGCAAGTGTATCTGTGGGATAAATTCCTTAAAGCAGACTAAAGACATATATAAAGTTTGACAGATACAGCCCAAATCTATCTTCCAAACAGTTTTATACCAATTTTTCTTCCTACCAATGGTGCATAAGAACACTGTTGTACCCACTCAGCAATACTGGGCATTATTGACTTTCTAAACCTTTGTAATAATAGTATATGATTTTTGGTTGCATTTCTATATACTAATAACAAAGTTGCAGAAAGAGAAATTAAGAAAACAATTCCATTTATAATTGCCCACAAAAGAATGAAATACCCTGCAATAAACTTAACCAAGGAAGTAAAAGACCTATACTCTGAAAACTATGCAACATGGATAAAAGAAACTGAAGATGACACAAATAAATGGAAAGATACCCTGGATGGATTGGAAGCATTCATATTGATAAAATGTCCACGCTACCAAAGCACTCTACAGATTCAATGCAATCTCTATCAAAATA